AATTTATTGTGGAGTTCATTGGATAACAAATCTCTAAGACAATCAGCATTTTAATCACAAGGTGATTCATTCGACATATATCCATCTTGATTATAAGGAATTCCACTAGTAATATGCTAATCAGTTTGGAAACCAATATCTTGTAGAACAACATGAAAAGTCTGAACGGACATTGATTCATTATGAACATTTGTTCCACAGTGATTGTTGGTTTCTCTTGATGTACATGCATTCATTGTGCTTCTGTGATTATTTTCTAAATATAAGCCCCTCAAGCTTGCTGGGGAAATATCATATGAACCATAAGTTTGTTTTGGCTGGGGTTTGGTCTCAGAGTTGTGCAGAGCCAATGGGGCCGCATATAATTTTGGACTGAGCTTCATTGACATAGTCTTCGGTTTCGTGATCCCCCGGTACCGCCACAATTTGTGTTCATTTACCATGAACTCGGCTTGCAATAGGCATGAGAATCCGCTAAATTAGCATTTGTTTCGGAAAAAACTAAGTCTTAGTATTCCACAGGGTGTTACTGAAACGGCCATTTCTTGAGGTCATGTTTGACTGCCAGTGTATCGCTTAACAAACAGCCCATAAACGATTCATGCGATCCTCCACTGACACATTCATTGTGCAGCCATTTTCCACTCCTCTACGCGATTTGGAAATCAAGCCACCAATGTTCTTCATATAATCAAAAAGTAGATAATCCAGCAGCCCCGAGAGTAATTTCCCTAAAATCTCCAAATGGTTGTTCCTAAATACCTGCCGTTGCTTCTGAGATAGTGACTGTAATTATACGAGAAAGTGCCATTCTTTCAATGCTACGGTGATTTTGTTAGTTCCAAAATCTCCCGGAGATTACCAAAGCTTTTTACCATATTTCACGTCATCAATTTGTTACGGCTTTCTTTTTTCATCCAATATCGTCCTTGCCAAATTATATGCGAAAGTGGAGAAGATTTATAACTCAGGTGGATGATTTTGATGGAGTTTTTTCTCTGAGCTAGACGGTTTTTTCGTGGAGATTTCATCTTTCGTCTGAGCGACATCAACACAAACTTCATGTAGGTGTGAACTGTTCGAATTTCTCCACATATGGTTCACAGCTTATCCTGTACACCTCGATGTTCGTTAGTTCTTGTTGACATTAAACCTATCACTATTTACTTTGTTTTCGTTGCATCTCCCATTGGTTTGATTTTCGTTTCTATGTTTGTGCATAATTTTCCTGACTGGGTGATAAATTGGATCGATTTCAATGTACTTCTTTATTGCTGATTAACCTGAGTGTTAAGTTTCAAAAAGTTCCCTGGTGTTTTCGGAGTTGCCTTTATCCACAGTGTCACATGTGGAGAAATTTGAAGTTTGTGCTGATGATGTCATCCAGAAGAATGATGAAAGCTCCACGAACAAGCCATCCAGCCCAGAGAAAAAATCTTTATTGAAATATATGTCCTATGGCCCGTTAGATATCATGTGACGAAACTGTTTATCAGAATACTGACTCCTTTGACTTGTTACATTTCTATGTCGTCATGTTGTAAACCTGACAACTCACTAGTTGCATAATGCACATCGTGGATAACATTGTTTGAACACAACGTAGAGCGTGTTTGTGAAAAGGCCACTAATAGACCGCATGAAGGAGCATACAAGTTTGCTCAAGTATCGTACGCGCCCTCCCAAGGTCATAGTTTACAGCAAGCGCTCTACGATTTCACTTTATAACAACTATAAACTTAATAAGTTGGGAAGCATTTTGCAAACCAACAAATGTTGTAATTTATAGATCATGCCTGTAAAAACGGTGTGTACCTGCACATGCAGAAATATATTATTATTATTATTGTTATTATTATTATCCTTTAAATTAATGCTTGCGATCGGTTCCTACAGTATTTCATTGATATATTTATTCATTCTAGAGGAATCTTTCACTTTTGCGCGTAACTTGGAAATCAGTTAATCGATTTCTGTCATGTTTAAGAAACGCAGTTGTTCCATCAGCCTTGTTCGTGAATTTCTATGAAAATTCCATCCAGCTTTTGAAACTTTGCTGTTACTGATGCAACGGTCTCTGCATTTACCCTAACGTAAAATACATTTTCAAATTTTTTATCGCAGGTTATAATGTCCAGCCACCAAACTGGTTCCATAAATGATATTAGTCTCTTTATTTTCTGATCAGAGCAGCTATTTAATGAAAGCGGGATGTTTTTCCCTTTCTACGAAAATTCCTTTACTCTACGATATTATCACAAAATACATGTGTTTATGAATGTAATCACGTTCGTATAAATAGCAAGTCTGTAATGGGAAAAAACCTTAAATTTTAAGTGGTGCAAGATGACAGGAATTGAAAGAAACTGCACGTTTTCGATAATAGCGAACTAAATAAGAATATTTTAACTATTCATCCATCAATTTAGACAAATTTAAACCGATGCCGGTGCTATGGACAATCGGATAGGCTATGGACCAAAAAACCGCAAGGCAGATTATTACGGCCAAAAGCATTATCCGGATAGTGCGAAGTTTACATTAACTCAAAGAATCAGATGGTTCGGAGAGGAGGAATGCTGATAAGGTATGGGTGGTCGTTTCGGAAGGAGTGTTGGTCTCTGTCGATATGAGTAAATCAACCAAAAATATTTGAGTTAAACAACCATCACTTAAAAATCATTTAGCTCTAGTCTGGTTTCTACTCTGAACCTATGAATCATGACTTAACCATTTATCGTCCTCTTCGTAGACGACTACCACTTTTTGTCTTTAAAATAGTTGTAATAATTTGTAATTCAAAAACAGGTTATAATTGCTGGCTACATACAAAATTACCTGTTCTGATTATAGCTCGACTAAGACCGTGTGAGACAGTAGGGGAACGTACTCAAGAAGGCTTTCTGTAGGTAATTACTATTCACGCTGCACTTTGAAGGAATTTGATGTTGTGAGTATTTCAAGTTATTCAAAAGGAAGGTGAAAAATCTCTGAATTATGCAGCTTTGTGGCGTGATATTTCGTGATTGTTTATATCTCGAAAAGGATAAAAGTAGCTCGATTAGTCAACAAATTGAATCTTATGTGCGAACAGCCAGAAGAAGTGGAAATTCTAAGTGTACAGCATCAATTACGTGTTTTAGTTTGAAAGATAATATACAATTGTCATATGTGTGTAGTGATACTGGAAGAACGCTGAGCGGTCACCACGGGCTAAGTTAAAATCTGAACGTACTCTAACCTGGAGGATTCAAACTGAAAGTCGAATGATGAAGAAAAAATGGTAGGTGCCTATATACGTCAACAAACGAATTAATAGTGTCAGTGTATGGTACAACCAATCAGGCCTCTTTGAATTAAACACATTACATCATTACCAGCATGAATGTATTCTTCAGAGCTTCTTGCAAACAACACCGCTGATTACCACTGTGGGACAAGTCAATATTGAAAATTATGTGACTTTGAAGTAAGATCAGATAGACTAGGGAGTCATATCATGACAAATTTACAATATAAGATTAAGCCTACTTTTATGGTAGCACAGATAAGTCCACTACTGTCAATTTTAGGCATGAATCCCACACGTTCACCATATGGTTCAAGCGTTTAATTTGACACACTGTCTTGGTATTCCCTGGATGATGTCGCTCGATGGCAATAAAAACATAATGTTCCAAGGTGTTTATCACAATGCTGTGTACGAAGAAGGTTGAACAAGTGTCATGGACATGCATTTCACTATGATAGTCAACAGGCTTTACGTTTATTAAAATCAAGTGATGTATTGAATGCGCCCAAAATCTCTGACAGAAAGGTATCACAGCAAATATAAGCTATAATCCAAACCCATGGTTAAATGCTAAGCTTTTCTTCAGAAGTTTTCATATTACCCCGACATGAGAATCTCTTTAACAACAGAATAAACTATTTATTGAAGACAAACCACCTGTCTCGTTGGATCACTGAATGTCTTGGTTTGTCATTAGTTTTGGTAGCTTGGAGTTCATCAACTAGGTCTAAAACCCCTATAGTGACTTAAGTGGATAGGATTATTGACGCTTCTAACATTTAAAATTCTTGTAGTAGACATTTTGTCTTCAAGACCTCATTCAATATGTACATGACGGATTTTGAGATGATTTTAAAGAAAGCTTTGTATCCTTAGAATTCAATCCGTTTAGATATAAAAAGTAATTTCGGTCAGTTGTTCCAAAGTTATCATTTATATACTCAAGCTTTGATTGACTAAATATGTTTTTGTACTATAGTAGTAAAAAGGTCAAAAGATGTTATAGTATTCTAATTATAGTATGAATTAGGAATTCCAGGATTAACGCAATTGAATTAAGAAGACACAGGCACAACGAATGTACTGTATTTAGAATTCGAAATCGAGCATTCAACCAGTACAAAAGAATCATTAGTTAATTCAAACACCACAGATGTGCTCATGGATTTCTTGTAGTTTACGACACAAATTTCTCCCTACTGCCCCATTAGTCATTCTCGTCCACAGGATGTATAACAGAGATGTTGTCGTTGTTTTCTCCTTAATCTGACATCACATCTGCCTGATGGGCTCTGCCTATCACTTCTAGTAAGTTCTGACTTTCGCCATTGATCTCTTAACCATGAATTCACTATCCACATGGCATCAACAAAATTCTAGTTCAAGCTGAGGAAGAAACTTTTAGGCTTCACAGGAATTGAAAGTATGGAAAGGATAAACGAAAAGGATTCTTAATTATGATTATACAGAAGTCTCATACACATGAAACTGACCAAGAAAAAATATTCATTTATATTAAATACAAGACAAGCAATAATCAACAGGAATCCAACTAAATATGAAATAAGGAAATGATGTGATGAAAAATATAAAATAAAATTAAGTTTTTAAAAATATACTAGTCACTTGAGGAACATTGTGACTATAACCGATATATCGGTATTTTGAGAATGTTGTTTTATTACAGCATTTAAAATGAGCTCCAAGCAGTGCACTGTTTGATAACCGTCTTTTATGCTGTCAATAGCGGAGCATTTTACCACTTGTCCACCAAGATCCAAACTTCGACTAATCTCTTCAGGAACTCGTTCACCTGTTTTAATTCTAAGATTTATAAGTCTGGTTGTTTATTTACTCGTAAGAATAGAAGAAACGTCTAAATCTTTATTTCTAGTTACATTGCCCTTCGTTTTGCGTTTGCACCTTGTTGTTGGTTTAAATTCGTCACACAACTAGTACAGCTGAAGGGAAGTTTTGTAATAACAATCGCATGGTTGTGCGGTTAGGTTTTCAAAAAATACACTAGAACAGTTGTTATAACAACTTCATTATGATGAAGTTTTTCATTGCATAATTTGATCATCTCTGTCTGCATGAGCAAAATTACTAAAATACTAAATTTTCATGGAATGTTATGAGAAAATTCCAATTTTAATCTACTGTTATAATCCCTCAACCATGTTTAATTAATTACTAGATTTTGACTCTATTTTCATAAAAATCCTAGGCGTGTCACATAGTATCAATTCAAGATTTAAATCGAAGATGTAGTTCAATCTAGCTCTAATATTGTGTCGCTTGGCTCTTAGATGTTTTATGTCTGGAAGTATACTGCATCTTATATTAGTTTTACCGCCAAAAATCTTAAGATTTACAAGTAGATTCTAAATAAGCCCTGATTTTATTGGCTTACGCATTATTTTCTTAAATAGTTACTCAGTTCTGATGGATTGAGAACGTCTTACCAGAAATAACCAGAGTTACGAAAATAATGATTAGCTGGATTTGATTGATATTAAGTCCAGCTAATTGATACTCATTATTATGTATTTGATATACCATTAGAGAGACTGATGCTTGCAGCAACATATTCTTGCAGATAGGGAGGCTAACTCTTAGCTAAGTCATGGCTGGCTTCTTTTAGATATGGAGTTTCCATGATGAGTGGCCACTTAGTAGCAGTCAATTTCATGGTCGTTTAGAACTTAGTGACTATCAAAATGCAATGATCAAGTTCTTACGCGCATTCTCTTTCAAAGTTTTAACGTCAAATTTATATTGTACCCATTGTTGGATCATTTAAGCAACGGTCACTAACTAATCCGATTTTCAATTCACAAGTTTTTCTGCCTCTAAAATGTCTGGGATTCTATATTTCGGAGTACGGGCTGTATCCACTCTAGACAAAATCTTTTTCAAATGATATTCGGTGGTATTATGATGCAGACTTTAGCAGAGTACTCGTGTGTCAGTTAATGCTGTCTGAACTAAATCATTGGTAAAGCTTCATACGTGTGTACCATGGCTTCGGCCGAAACTTTGATCGTCTATGTGAGCATTGTATAGCATTTGTCTAGTCTCTAGTGTAAACGACAGCATTCACTAGTTTTTCATTTGTAGGTCAAATGTTTCAAAGAAGCCAGTTGTGTGAAACCTTTTATATTTAAAGCATGATAATTAAAAATATATACTTGAAAGATGGCCTTATCCATAATTTTCCATGTATTTACTGACATAAGTTCTCATTTTATTTAAATATTACCGACAAGTTTGAATTTCAAACCGAAGTCATTCGATTCCAGTTGAGGTATTCAAGCATTATGATTAGTCATCATATCATAAGTTTGCTTCAAAACCGAGTACAATAATCTATAATTAGTCGCAGTAATTATATATCAGAACTGTCACTGCTGGGCTAATCGTTAATTTTTAAGATATTCTCGTTCGTACAGTAAGTGTTTCATTAATAGCACTATAAAAATAGTTCATTTTAGATTACATCCGAATAATTTTCTGTATCTGTCCTTCAACGTAATAACTAAATCTTATTATATATGTTACATGGAAATAACGACTAACATCCAAAAGCATTTTGTTTACATTGTAATAATCACAGAACCATCCGGCATTGTGCACGAGAATATGAATTTTTTATTTTATCAGTGTAACATCCTACCATTTATAGTCCAATTCATTAAAAATTTTGGCAGATTATTGAAGTGAGATACGAAGCTCAAAGTACAGATAGTCTTAAATCAAGATGTAAGATTTTGTGTAAAAAGATACAAGCCAGTTAATCGATTTCAATAATGAAAGTCAACTAGCAGATATAATTGCTTAGGTTATGACTTTGTTTTCAACATGGTCTAGTTTTTTCCATCTTGGCTTCCCAATAAACCTTTGTGAAATTTACCTGTAGAGAGAATTTATTAAATGGAAAAGATATTTGAAGACGATTTAACACCAGCTAGTGAACAACTGCTAATAATGGCGTACTAAGAATTTTGGCTTGCAAATTTTTGACCAAATGTATTTCAACTCATTTTGCCGGTAAAACTACCTCTAACTCTAAACGATGAATAAATACGCATGAAAATTTAGGTAGTTAAGCCAATGAGATTTCTCTCCGAGAAGTATAAGTAAAAAATGTCATTTTGATTATTTTCATAATTGGACACACTTAAAAAATATACCCATACTTCTTTATATCACGAAGTAGTCTACAATTTTTTAACTTCAGTTAAGTAACCAACATGATTTTATTTTCATTTAAGGTCTGAAAAGCAACCACCACCTCGAACTGTTAAAATTACATGGAAAGTGGAAGACACAGATCACCATATTATCGAGATAATCTTAATTTATCATCCCATCAATACATTGAGGGTGTTGATTCCAATCCTGAGATACATGATCGTCAAAGACCAGCTAGTGTACAAGATTTAGAATATGGAGAAATGTATGATTCCGGTATACAACCACACTCAACATCACCACGACTGAATAATCCATACATTGATCCGTTAATTGAGGGTGATACAAGTGGAATCGATCATCGTACAACATCATTAGATCGTCGTGGTGAATATTATGGTACACTGAGAGGAAATTTTGATTCACAAAGTGAACGATTGACAAGAAAACCAATTAATCGGCAATCATATACATTGAAATCACTTAGTTCAAACCCAGGATTATCCGGCATATTAGGTTCAACAAACCCATCATCAGGTCGAAGAGCACATTCGTATGATATGAATTTGGAAAAACAAGGTCTGACAGATTATAATAGTTTATTAGCTGCCGCTGCTGTTGGTGGTGTCGGGGCTGTTGGTATTGGTACAAATCCACCGATTTATGGTTATCCTACTAATCCACTACTAGACTACAGTAGTACTTTAGGCGTACCAACATTTCCAACTATTGGTGGTCTTGACTATGCAACATTACAAAGATCTGGCGTTTATTCAGGTCTACCACAAACACAACCAACATCAATACCAGCTGGTTTAATTCCACATAATCCAACTACAGATATTACTACATTACAAAGAGAATATGTACGACTACAACATGAATTACATGTAACTAGAGAGAAATTAAATGCCTGTACAATTAGCATACGTACATTTTGGAGTCCTGAATTGAAGCGTGAGCGAGCAATGCGTAAAGAAGAGAATGCAAAATATGCTATATTAGCTGATCACTTACATCAATTACAATTGGAAAAACAAGTAAGCTTACACATGTATCTTTCTTATAACAGATAAATAAATAAATACATTACTTTCATAGTCGTCAAAACTGAATGATCTTTATTTAAAAGCCACCGAGATACAAGAGACACTAGATAGTTCTTTCACCGTCGTTTTTGAGTCCTCACTATTGCTCACCCATGATACTATCAAAGGAGATCAAATCTAAGGCCCTCGATCTCGTGCAGAACGCTTAACTTCTAGACTACTGAGTCAGTATCCAAAGGTTTGCATGTTTTACTTAAAAAATTCTCAATATCGCACAATCATCTTCCAATGCTATTGATACATAAATTTCTTACACTTCTTGTGATTAAGCACACTGATCACGGTTTTCAATGGAACCTCGGAATTACTTCTCAATACTATTTAACAATGACCACCACCAAGCGACGTTTACCAAATTGCCTAACTTTTAGTGTGGGTTTGATGTCCGTCTACCGGTCAGTGGACGAACACACTGAGGAGAAACCCACTGTGTTATTTTATGGCTGTTAAACATGGTCCTTGAAGGTAAAAGGCACACATCGGTTGCTGACATTCGGTCATAGATGCTTTCGAAGCACAATTTTTTTATTTTCAGACAATGCTAAGTTTCAGCCTCGACTGATAGGTAACGATGAAAATCTGTTGATGTGATAGTGAATCTCTATCAGCTGAGATGACTGCGACCTGGATTAAATACGCTCAACCATCTCCTACCTTGACTACTGATGATGGCTGATGAAGGAGTTGGCTAAAAACAAACCAAGAAAAGACATAGGATAAGTTTATGAAGTAAGTGACTATTGAACTGATCCATATAAGCTGGTACAGATTACTTAGTTCGGACTTACTTGATTTTCGGAATCAATGGTTATAGACTGAGCTTCGAAATCGTTTTGTTCATTTGGAAAATTGGCGTAAATCATTTATTCATTTCTTTCATCATAACTCTAGGTTAGTAAAAATGTCTGAATCGTTATTGAATACTAATTTTCTTCAGTAGTTCACCAGCTGTTGAATTCTGCTATTTCTTAAAAGGAGTAATCTCATCTTTTATAGGTCTAATTACAAAGGTTTAACGAACCAATTTAGACAAAAATATTGGAAAATCAGTCTGTCTGCAAATAAATTTTAAACATACAGACAACCTTAATATACTAGCCAAAGTAGGCATACAATTAATCCAAGTAACCAATTTGTTATTGACCTTAACTAGGGTTAACTTGTTATGAACTTTATTTGGGCTTGCTGCTTTATACATGAAGGTTTTTCAAGACATTTCATTCTTCCTTATAAATGACTAATTTCAAAAGGTAATTCACAGAATTCCTAATAGAGTCTATGGTCAATAGAGTTCAGTCATGTTGTGAACAAGATAAGTATCAACTGTGAAGTTGGATAATGATTCAGTAATTTAGTAGAGTTAGAAACATAAACTATTGGATGTAAAATTAGTGATCTGAAGGTTAAGTGTTCACTGAGAAATCTAAAGGTCATGTGTTCCGTCCCTGATTAATTAGTGAATGTACTATTAAATAATCTAATGGTAGGATGAAATAACTCACCAGTACATCCTGGTTTTCAACTAAGATCTATCCATGATGTAAACTATGAATAGATGACAATGTTCATAAAAGCTCTATAATACTAATACTCAGTATTACTTTACAAAAATATCATATAGAAAATCTGAATCAGCAATTTTCCCATTGATCTATTCAAGATAGAAATTGTGATATTTGAAAATGGATTTAAGGAAGATTAATACATGTAAAGATAAACTTTCCTCTAATGTTCACTGATATAAATGAAATATTATTCCCTATAAGAAAGAATATTCAATACAAATCAAACAAAATCTTAACAATAGAAAACACCTTTTGACCAGTAATTACTGATTGTATACTAAAACATATTAGAAATAAGGTCATTATCCTATCAAGCCAAATAAATGTTTATGAAACACTGAATAGTTTTGAAAGTGACTTTCTTTTTTTAGATGAATGCTAACCAGATGATTAGATGGGTTACCTAACTTTAAGATTCTTCTTCGTCAATTATTACACAACCTTGAGATGGTGGAGAAGATTTGTAGCTCAGGTGGGTGATTTTGGTGGAGCTCAGAGAACAGCTTTGAGAACAAAACTCCACCAAAATTACACAACATTTTTACTCTGCATAGGATCAGACAAAGGATATTCCAATTCCATAACACTATACAATTTGAATTTCAATGATATACATTAGAAACTTAAATCAAGGTGATATAATTGTAATCAGATCAGGGTACCAGGAAAAGTTTTCAACAGAGTGTTGTTGAACCGGATGAAGGACGCAGTGTATGCCCAACTTCGAGATCAACAGGCTGAATTTCGTTAGGATCGGTCATGCACAGACCAAATTGCGACAATACGGATTATTGTCGAACAATCAGTTGAATGGAACTCGTTACTATACATCAATTTCGTTGATTATGAGAAGGCGTTTGACAGTGTGGATAGGAGAACATTATGAAAACCTTTTCGACACTGTAGAGTTCCTAATAAGATTCTCAAAATTATCCGGAACTCACATGACGGACTAAACTGCAAAGTCGTGCACGGAAGGCAGCTAAAAGATGCTTTCTAAGTAAGAACCGGAGTCAGACAAAGTTGTTTACTCCCCCCCCTTCCTCTATCTTTTGGTGGTTGACTGGGTTATGAAGACCTCAACATCTGAGGGAAAGCACAGAATTCAATGGACCGCTCGGAATCAGCTAGAAGATTCGTACTTCTCAGGTGACCTGGCCCTCCTATCCTATACACACGAACAAATGCAGATGAAGACAACTAGTATAGCAGCAGCCTCTGCACCAGTAGGCCTCAATATGCACAAAGAAAAAAGCAAAATCTTCAAATCCAACATGAAGAACACCAACCCAATCACACTTGATGGCGAAACTATGGAAGATGTGGGATCTTTCACGCACCTGGTCAGCAGCGTCATCGATGAACAAAGAGGATCCGATGCAGACGTAAAGTCGAAGACTGACAAAGCAAGGACAGCATTACTACAACTGAAAAATATATAGAACTCAAAACACCCGTCAACCAATACCAAAGTGAGAATCTTCAGTACGAACATCAAGACAGTTCTACTGTATGGAGCTGAAACTTGGAGAATTACTAAAACCATCAAAAATGTACAAGTATTTATAAACAATTGTCTACACAAGATACTCAATGTCCGTTGGTCGGATATCATCAGCAACAGCCTACTGTGAGTGAGGACAAACCAGCTTCCAACTGAAGAGGATATTATTAAACGAAGTTGGAAGTGGATAGGACATACAATACGGAAATCACCAAACTGTATCACGAGGTGAGCGCTAACTTGGAATGCTGAAAGGAAACGCAAAAAAGGAAGATCGAAGAACACACTATACGAAAACTCGAGGCAAACATGGAAAGAATGAATAGTAACTGGAAAGAACTGGAAAGGATTGCCCAGAACAGGGTTGGATGGAGAGTGAAGGTGGGTGGCCTATGCTCCTCCACGAGAAGTAACAGGAGTAAGTAGTAGTAGTAGTATGTTTATTATTGTTATTACCAAAGATATAAAATACTCATAATTTTTGTTCTATTCATCTTATACTTTAATAGACAATGTTAGAAACATTGCATAATATGGAATCAGATTTACGTCAAGAACGTGATAAACGAAATCGTAGCCGTTTCAGTGGTGGTGCAAGTGATTCAGATGGTTTAAGTGAATTAGACTTAGCCAAACGTCAAATAGACGAATTAACATTAGAGAATCGTCAACTTAAAAAATCTATTGAAGATGCTGATAGACGTATAGCTAATTTAAAATCTAGTCTAAATGCTACAGAGGAAAGTTTACGTCGATTAGTTGACGCAGTTAAAGCTGGTAAATCATCGAATATCAATCCAGAAACTACAACAACTACTAATGTAACTACTGGAGATGGATTAACTTCAGTCGGTGATCAAAGTGCTATCTCATCTATAAAATTAGATCGAATTGAAGCAGATAGATTGGAAATTTCTCGTTTAAGAAATCAATTAAATGAAACATCAACTAGAAGAAGTGAAGCAGAACGTCAACTAATTGAAAGAAATTTTGAATTATCAAGAATAAAAGAAGTAAGTATGTATTGTAATTGAATTGAATGAATTAAAAATCTCCACTTTCATAGTAATATCACATTCAATAAGGATGATAGTGATGTAGTAGACAGCCAGAAAATTTAATACTACTAATGAGTAGGTGAATTATTCATTGGTAATTAGTTGATCAGTGATTTACATCGATCGTAAGTGATCTCAACTAAATCGAATAATTGATAGTTTATTATCGACTTTATAATTTAAAAAAATAATACTATCTTCGAAAAAAAACCCTTAATTTCAGGATTTTGCACGACCAAAACAATAAATTCGTTTATCTTCATAGATGGAAGACTGAATCTAGAATGCGCGTTTCGTCCTATTTGAGATTCATCAGCTGGATGTACCTGCATCTCAGAGTTGATGTTCACTCTATCCATCTTTCTTTATAATGCTTGTGAATTAAGGCTATGTCAAGGCAATACGCACACAATGCGCATATACCCATAAGGGATTGATCAGTTATAGTCATAAAGATTCAAGTAAACTATACCAAGTAAATTCGCTGATCTGTTTGTTTGTTTTTGTTGCGAAATTGTTTACATTTCACAACATCAATTTGAGAAATAGGATGAAACAATCAACTATTTGCTAAGTAGCAATGTAATATGTAACCTGCTTAATAAATGAGCCTAAATTAACGTTTTATTTTCTCTCTCTATACCTTATAATCTTAACAACAAACATCGTAAAAATACGTTGCCAAGTTAAAGAAAAATAGAAATTAACATTACACTATTTTACTAAAATTAAAAAAAAAATTAAAATCTGAGGAGGCAAAAAAACAGAGAAGTATCTATGACCTATCCCAATTAAATATTTATGTAATACGATATACTTTCAAACAAAAAGATACCTCCATAATCGATTAACGAATGATACAAGGTGGAGGGGGGAGGGGGCAGGAAGACAAGGGTTTTTCCCTACTCAAATACTATGAGCATATATTTTTTTTTGTTAAAGAAAGTTAGCTGTTTGTCTGTTTATCTAAATTTTGACCTAATTTGGTCTGTTTAATTTATCACTAGAGTAAATTACTTAAAATATACCTCTATGTGTTTGTGTGTCTAATATTATTGGATCACATGTTTGTCTATCGAGTTTATTCAATTGATTGTCTTACAGACAGATTCAAATGAGTTAAGACATATACTTGTCTCATAAAAATTTGTGATGAATTTTGATGGTTAAATTAGGTCAAATTTCCTTTATAACTGACCTAGTGTGGAAACCATCTGCACCACAAATTTAGTCGCAATCAACTCATTATATATAATAAGGAAAGATGAATAATGGCTAGAGTTGGAATTCAGGATACATGTTTCGTTCTATTTGGAACTCGTCAGCTAAATGTACCTAAATCCCAGAGTTGATGTTCACTCTGTAACTCAAACCTAGTAACATTCGCTTTAAACGTCATCACATTATCCACTTAGCTACTGAGTCTTGATAGCCACTTGTTTGTACAGTGGAGTGAAGTTTAAATTAACTTAGTATTGTTTAATTGAATCTTCCCACTGATGTTTAGAAATGGAATTGATCAGTCTCTTATTGGCATATGATCATATTATGCGTATTGTCTCGATATTGCCTTAATTCACAAGCATTATGAGCAAAGATAGATAGTGGTTAGCAGTGGAATCCAGGGTGCTCGTTTCGTTCTATTTGAGACTCGTCAGCAATATCGAGGCACTATCCACAGTATGCACATATACCAATAAGACTAGTCAGTTTCAGTCCTAAACATCAATAGGAAGTTTCGAGTAAACAGTACCATGTGAATTTATATGTAAATATACTTCCTTACGCCTGTTACTCCCATTGGAGCATAAACCGCCGACCAGCACTCTCCAACCCACACTGTCCTGGGCCTTCCTTTCCAGTTCTATCCAACTTTTGTTCATTCTTATGTCCGTCTCCATTTCTCAACGTAGTGCGTTTTTTTGGTCTTCCTTTTCTCCTGTGGCCTTGAGGATTCCACGGTAGGGCTTACCTTGTGACACAATTAAGTGGTTTCCTCAATGTGTGTCCTATCCACTTCCAGCGTTTCTTCCTGATTTCTTCCGCTATTGGGATCTGGTTCGTTCTCTTCCATAGTATGTTGTTGCTGATAGTGTCTGGTCAACGGATCCGAAGTATTTTGCCTGGGGCTACTGCCGGTTGCAAGTCCGTATAAAGGAGAAGAGTTGAGCATATGGTTAGCGACCCCATCCCGTAAAAGAATAACTCGCTAAAAAACGCTAACCAGAAAATTCAATAACAATCCTAATCAGTATGGAATAGGTAGTTGTTTAAGGTTTTAAATGAATCAATAGACGAATTGATAATAGCTCCCAATGAAATGATGACCATTTCAGTGGAGGTGATCACGAAGATTTTCACTTCAGAGAGATAATTTTATTGAGATTGAGTTTTCTGAGCTGGATCATTTAGTAATAGGATCATGACTTACTGAATATGAGGAAGATATCCAAGATGAAAATATGGTTGTTTTATTACTGAAGCTTGTATTTTTTGATGGACTATTCAGGTCAGAGAACTTAATTTCAACAAAGTTATTCCATTTTGTATATTCATATGCAGAACGAACTAAGAATGTACTCTAATCTAAAAGATATAATCAAAATAAAAGACAGTTTCAAAGTTTTGTTGTCAAGCAAATGAAAGATTAACCCTATTTTTAGGCAAAAAGTCCTAGTGATTATTGAGTTATCGGAAATATGAGAAAAAGATTGATATTGTATGTGTTCTCAGTTCACAAGACATACTTTAAAACATTTACCCTATGTTTTACGTCAGCGAGTTACTGTATTATTAGTGAATGCGCACTGTTGTGGAGTCCTATACTAGAATGAAACGACCATCCAGTGCTTCTAAGTCTTCAATGTTGGTCTAACATTGATCAATTCATGATCTTAATCAAAACTCAACAATCTCCACAACTTTATATTGATATTTTAGTTGTATTCAAGGAATTTAGTTTTTAATTTTTGTACATGATTAGAGCATTATGTATTTCTTATAATAGCCTACCTCGGTGAGGAATATTTATTGTTGTAGGAATAAGTTAATTCAAAGTTATGGAATCCCAAATCAAGACGTGTATTCAGTCCAGGAAGTTATTACGTGTTGTATTTCACTCTGTTCATAGGTGAATACTGTCTGGTTGGGGTCCGCTTGATTATAATAGCCAGTGTTTAGAGACTTTGGCTAAGAATCATTTACAATGGTGCTGAAGCATTCACTCTTTTTAACCCCTTTACATTTAAGACTTTTAAAGCTGTATTATATATTTTATTCCAAGAATTCATTTTTTATGGTTCATACAATCTATGTCTAATCTTTCTACTATCACCGTAACTGTCACAATTTCTACTACTCTGAGATTTGTATTGATACAGAGGTAGAGTAGAAGACACTCGTAAGCAACTAGTATTTGACCACAGATGCCTTAGAAATATTGCTGGCGTCTGCTGGGATCACCGGGTAAGTAATATTGAGGTTAAACGCAAGGTATTAGGGAATGGTGGTAAATCAATTGATGAGGTTGTTAATCTTCATCGACTGAGATGGTTGGGTCACGTGTTACTTATGCCCGAACACTGATTACCACGACGTGCAATGCTAACCGGTGTTGGAGATGGTTGGAAGAAGGTTAGGGGCGGCGAAACCAAAACGTGGCATCAGTGCTTGAAGTCACTAACTTCTAGTCTGAGCCATGTTGGTAGATGCAAACTACTTGGTTGGGTTCCGCGTGATTATCGTAACTGATGGTTGGAGACTCTTGGTGACATGGCTCAGAATCGGTCACAATGGCGTCGGTGTATACACTCTCTGTCTTCTCTTAAACCATGAGATTAAAATTGCTTCATATCTTTCTTTCTACGAACTAATTCTTTCTTCGTATACTATATCCTTATATACAATCTTCCTTTTATATATTACCACCTCTGAATTAACCACATCTATGAATCCGGTGTCCATCTTGTTGTGTTAATGAGGTATGACAAGTTGGACCGATGTATATGTGCCTGGTCCTACGTTGTAGCTGACTGACTGACTTGTATTGATACGTGTATTTTGTTGTACTGATGTATTGTTACAACTGAGAATGATTCACATATGTTCTAGGTTCGAAGATATTCATAACTCATTAACGGATCAAGCATAGAAAGAACAAAATATTTTACAGAATAAGCTGAATTCATTCACAACAAAATTTCGAATCATACTTTAGGCAATGAATTGTAAGTGGATCTCTAAAACTGGATAGAAACTCATCAAAAGCAAACAGACGATAGGAAATATAATATTTTAAAAAAATGATACGTAAGATTGATGTATCCGGTCAAGTTAAAAGATTGTTCATACAAAACGAGATTAGTGACTTTTTAGTTAATAATTATAATAATCATACTATGGTCTAAGCTACTGATGTCGACAGATATAAGTAATATTTCTCATCAATCAAGAAAAGGACGAGAACAGAAAGTGATTAATATTGAAAATGAAGGAACAATTAAGTTTGCAGTGTCGGTTATTTTACATTATGCCCATATTCCTTGTTCTAGCTTTCGGACAAACCAATCTATTCATTCTACTTGGGCCACACTTTGATCATGTTAGTTATTCACTTGTCAACATTGACTGTTTTTACATGAGCGCATATGTGTGTTTACACTTTTTATCCCATTACTCATCATACGTCTGTAACCTATTTTTGTGTGACTATAAATATCGCTTCTCGGCTCTCTGAGCTAAGATCTTGTGTAGTAATATTGATTAACGCTTCGTTAAATGGAGTTGGCTTATCCACCTTCTCCACTGTGCGTCGTCTAGCTTCGTTATATTCCAATCGTTTCATATACAATATATATGTATTCAAAAGTTCATTCTCGTTATTCGACTTATTTAATTCCTTTATTGACTAACGCGATTTAAGTCGATGATTATACAGGAGGATAGGCGACATATATATTTCGACAAAAACCATCCATATGATCTACTTGGATTCAGATCCACGGGCCACTAGAGTGGAGAGCCCATTAACAAACATCGTCCGATCTAAATGACGATAATAAAAAGGGCCCCACTAAAAGTCTAAGACAGTTGATAGATATTCCACAAATGAAGTATTTACTGTATGGTTCTCAGATTATACTAAGACCCTGCCTGTGTCCTCATTCACCATAGTACTACTAATCAAATAAGTGAATGTAATTCTAATCATTTAAAGCTTATATAGTCACATAGACACTATCAATTTCGGTTTTTTTTGTAGTGAAGATTCCCATTTTGAAATTTAGTAAATTTCATTTTGTTTTGTTTTCTTTCTTTTTTTCTTTCTCTAATAAATTCACAGGATTTTGATGCACTTTTACAAGAACATCGACAACTTAGACAAGAATGTGAAACACTTCGACATGATACAAGACAAACTCAAACATTACAATCATTGGTTGATACAAAAGTAAATATTTGGGAAAAAAATAGCGAATTTTAACACAAAACAGTGTATATCAATTTAAATACGGCTTTTATCAACTTTAAGTGAAGATTATAGTATTTTTAATAGGTGAATTGATGAGATGATCTATGCTAGATCACCATTGAAAACCTGGAAACACTGTTCAATGCCGGTCCATTAGTCCAGAGGTTAAGCACTGACACACAAAATCGAAGATGTTGGGTTTGGGACCTGTGTGCCGAATCATGAATACGCACTACTGAGTATTCCCATACCAGGACAAAACGGTTGTTTAGTTCTTTCAGATTTTCAATGATGATTTAGTTTAGATCGTCTCATAAATTTAACCAATCGAGAAAACAGCGAGACTCTAATTTATGGATGAGCCAATCAGAGGCTTTTCAGAGATTTCAAGGTTACGGCGCCAACTTCAGTGCTTAATGCTAACGTATGATCGGTTCACCGGGAGTTTTGTACAAAACGTGATAATTGAGCGGCTATAACGAATAAAACAGCGAGGCTATAATTTGCGGACGAATCAATCAGTTATAAGATAATAGATCTCGGATTTTAACGCGAAAGCCTTTCATCCATTTAGCTAAGTAGATTTCTGGAAATACAGCTGATGTCAGTTCGTGATGAAAATCCTTTATATAATTTCTAACTAAGGCAACTTACGACAATTATCGCGAACTGGATAATAATAGCATCAGTAACACTGGCTGCAGCCAGGTACTACAATATATACAGATGTTTGGAGAGCGTACAGACTTCTACATAGGCTTGGCTATGTGCATCATGTCTTTACCCGAAAGTAGCATTTTGTGCACTCAACAACTGGAGTGCACATAGACAATATTGAAGCTATGTGGTCGAGGCTGAAAGAGTTTTTGAGACTTTATCATGGCTTCAGAGGCCGACTATTCTGGATGATTTCTTCTACTGCATGCATTACGATTTTGGAACCTCTGAACCTCCTTCTAACCCTGATAAGTTTTTGAACCATGTATAACATATTTTTACTCTATACTTACTGTTTGCTGATTGGCTAATATTTCTCAAGTTCACTTGAGAGTCGTTCAAAGGTCGTCCATGGATTATAGTCTCGCCGAGAAAACTTCACTTTGATAGTTATTCATGATATAACGAGATCATTTAAGTCGTTCGTTATACAATCTAATCAAAAGTATATTGCAACATTAAAGAGGAAGAATGTTGTATTTGTGCAAAATCTCCCGAATGAATTTGAATTCAATCCAATAGTTTGCACAGTAATCTAAGATTTTACAAATACATTCTTTCTCTTTAATGTCTAACATTAAATATCTGAGTTTCCTTTAAGGTATTTACTGATGAACTAATTTCTTCTTACATATTAAGATTCCTTCTTATCTAAGATTACATTTTGAAAAAAAGAGTGAATGAATTAATGTCATATACAAAAATATACTACTGAAATCACTTGACATTTGCATGCGGGACTGATAGGTCCTGGGTTAGAATCTCGCGGGGTGGTGGGATCGTGAATGCGCATTAATGAGAAGTCCCATACTAGGACAAAACGACCATCCAGTGCTTCCAGATTTTTCATGGTGGTCTAGCTTCAACCGGCTCATAATTTCAATTAGTGAAATTACTAAAATCTCCACAAAACCCCCTTCTGATGCCGAATCATTCTAATCAATATTATAATGATAAGATAAATGAACCAATCAGAGAAAGGATAAATAATAATAATTTGATTGGATGAAATAAGTTTTAAGTAGGCAAGGTAACAGACAATTTAGATAGATATGATATAATTGTTTTATTACATGATTAAAATGTTTAGAAAGTAATAGACAGTTGCTATGACAATTATACTTATTCTTCTAAATGATTAATTCATTTTAAAATGAGTTGATCGTTTGATTTATAAATCTAACTAATATTTAGTATGGATAGGTGATTATATTGAATTTAATCAGTGCTTGTCAGTCAGTCAGCTACAACGTAGAACCAGGCACATATGTGATCTGTACTTCTAAAATGTCTATATTCTAAATGGGTACAACAGACATAACCGGAAGTTGAATTAGACATTTCAATTTGTCTCATCAACCTTGGATGTTTGTTTTATATGATTTCCTGTGATAAAACAAAAGTAGTAACTTAGATAAATTTCACATTAAATACATAAATTAGCGGTGTGACTATAATTTATGGAAGACCTTTGAGCGACGCCAGACTGACCTTGATGGTGTCCACCTAATAACTAGGACCAAATGAAGGTTATAAACCTGTGTAAGGAATTATAATACAGTTGATGATTAAGGTTAGAAACTAGATTTAGGGTTTCCATCACGAATTGACATCAGTTATAATGCCAATATCATATTTATTCTAATGAATGAGTGAATTTCGCACAAAAATCCGAGACCCGTTATCTTATACCTGATTGGTTCGTCCATAAATTAGTCTTGCCAAATCAACTTTTTGAAAGTAATCAGTACCATTCTGTGGTTTTGGATGGCTGATCAAACTTAGTTATTTAAAGTATCATTTGATATTTTGGGGAGCTCTTGTCTAATCTAAAATTTAAAGCCTTTCCTTTTACAAAAACTTTGAATTAGTAGTATTTATTACATTGAAATCAAATAGGTATAGTTGGCAAGGAATGAATGAGATTAAGGTAATTAAAAGGTATGGAAGAACATTTTAATATAATCGAAAAAACGTAGGAAATGATTAAGAGAGCATTTTATATGCATATTTGGATCTCCTCAGATAACAATTAATTGCTAACTAGTTACACTGTTAACATAATTGACATTACTAGTGTGTCCAACGTATTTACCCCAGTCATCAAACTGGGAACTGATACCGAACAGGAGTCTATAAGAAAATTCAATTGGTCATTATTCACACCAAAATGCACCATATTACTCACATACTTCTCAACAACATATGGGTTTTAATATAGAAGACTGATCTCTGAATAGTAGGATGACGCAAGAATTATATTATCCAAGAGCATATAAATTACAAGAACAAATGAAAATAATGAGAGTAAACAAGTATGAAGAATATCACTTTATTTTCTACTAATCAATGATAGTAAACGATACGACAATAAACCAGAGTGAATACAGCATGAGCCCTCATGTGTTTTATGATTGCACATCTTATCTTCCGGGTTATTTTAAAATATATCTTGGTTTTTTCTCAACTTTGTTCTGAGTTGAGATTGGTAAAGCGAAATGTAGGTGGCTAATGAGGTTAGACTATAATTTATGAACGACTTTTGAGCGACGCTGAAGTGACCTTGAGAATGGACACCTACTGATTAGGACTAAATGAAGATTATAAACCAGTTAGAATTTTCATTTACAGTTGATGGTTAGGGTTAAAAATTAGATTTAGGGTTTTCATCACAAACTGATATCAGCTATAATGCTAAATCTCTGTTTAGGAAAATGCATGAGTGAATTTCGCGCCGAAATTCACGACTCGTTACCTTATATCTGATTGGTTCGTCCATAAATTATAGTCTCACCGCTAATAAAATACCAAACAAATGGGAACATAACGCGATCAGCTTATTTGATTGATTATATGATAGTTACATATTCAATGTATTCTGAAGCGGATATAGTCATAAAAGTAGGATTTCAAATCAGTTCGTCTGTTGGATATTTATTGGTTCAGAACATTAAAGTTACAATTTACTTAGGTGATTGGTTATGACCATGTAAATTACCCATTAAAAATCTTTCAGTATTATACTTAGAAAGTGATCTGACTTATGTAGAAGTTACATTTATGTCTTATGCTTATTGCAAGTTTAACTTTCCTTGTATTCCAATATCATAAATCCTCAAACTTTGTTCCAGAACGTTTTTTGGACGATATCTATTTAATGATTAGTGTATCTTCTAGTATTTTATCGTGCACCAAATTTATTTTATTTATTTAAACATACAAAGATTGCTACAAGGAGGCACTAAACAGACCTGCACAACATAAATTATTCGATTTATCTAAGGGCTGAGATACCATCTGGGTGCCCAAACCGAAACAGGTGGTTTTCTTACAGGGCCACACATGGAGCCTTCGACCTGAAGGTCTAATCCACAAGGCAGTGAAGCAACATCAGGGGATTCAGTCCTATGGTAGCCGATGACCAATCATTGGTTCATATGTCATTTATTCCTTCAAGATACTAGAGCCCATGCGAATCATTGTTTTAGAATCAGGGTTTTCCAACTCCCCTAGGTGGATCCTCCATATTCACCAACACGGTTAGAGCAACGGATATTCGCTTTTCGTCCTCTCAATATCGTAAACAACAGTAATTTCGCAAGAAGGCGATGAGTAGGACTTCCCTGGTAGTGGTTGTATGCACGTGTCCATGTGAGAGCATTTCGAGAGGGAGAGCTGACTCTCCCCACTCTCATCCATACCAGGTCATTTGGGAGCCAGGTTCTATCATTTTTATATTTTAACTCGTCATAAATCTAGTACATATTTATTACTCACATCATTTTTTTCATACTAAAGGAATCGAAAATTTTAACTTTGGAAAATGAAATACGTCTTTTAGAAGATGAAATTACTCGTCTTCGAGATGATGGTCTAATTACTCCAAATACATCAACTAGCAGTGGGATTGATGATTTAGATAAAACTTTACAAGTATTTCGAAGTAACGAACGTATTCTGAAATCTAAAGTAAGTGATTAATTAAATATTTTGTAGGATAACACTATAGTCATATTGTTTATGAATAATAATATTTATGGTACTACTAACTAATTATGTGATTATGAAGACCTCGAAATCTGAGGGAAAACACGGAATACAATGGACAGCTCAGAACCAGTTAGACGATTTGGACTTGATGGCGAAATTCTGAACGATGTAGAATCATTCACGTACCTGGGAAGCATCATCTATGGGCAAAGAGGATCAAATTTAGACGTAAAGGCGAGGATTGGCAATGTAATGGCCGCATTCCTACAATTGAAGAACATATAGAACTCAAAACAACCGTCAACCAAGATTAAAGTCACAATCTTCAAAACGAACGTCGAGACAGTTCTACTGTATCGAGCTGAAACATGGAGAACTATTACAACCATCATCAATAAGGTGCAAGTATTTATAAATAGTTGTCTATGCAAAATACTCAACATCCATTGACCGGATACCATCAGCAACAGCCTTCTGTGGGAGAGAACAAACCAGCTTACTAGTATTGGACTCCTCAACAGTTCGCATCCACGATCCCGTTTCAAGTGATTCAAACCCAAAACCTATCAGTCTCGGACGAGAACGCTTAAACACTGAGCTGGCACCCAACGGTGTTAATGTCTAACTTCAACTAATTCACGAAATTGAGAGACACATCCACCATTGTCTTCAATAAGTAGTTACTATCTCACAACTGACCCGGTTGAATTCCACTAGTCACTGCTTTTTACTAGAACTCCAAAATATACCTCTTGAAGCTAGTCACTAGTGAGCATATGTTAATTAGTATCAGAAGGGGATTTGTGGATATGGTAGTAATTTCAATGGTTAAGATCATGAGTCAATTGAATATTTTAAACCAATCTATTAGGTTCTAGTTGGTTGATTTATTTTCTATAATAATCTATTCATTTGTTTATATACAATTTGAGATTTATAAAATCTATTCTACTCTTATTTGATTATAATCCATTTGTTTGTTTTTTCATATTATTTCTCTTGGCGGGGGGGGTGATAATAATTCAATAGCTTACATAGATACAATGATATAGGAAGAAGATGATGACAACAAGTATTGATTAGAATAGTACCATGTGACTTCTATAACTTAAACTAAAATGAATATCCAAGTAGAGAAAATAAATAACAAAAATATAATTCTCGACAGAAAAGTAGATAAACTTTATGACGTACAATCTGGAAATAATTCTCTATGTGGAATAAATGAAAAGAAGAAAATTTTTTTTATATTTTAGTTGTGAAGTTATATATATATTAACACTGTTAAATACTTGCTCAATAGTAGTCTAGAGGTTAAGCATTCAAGTGAAACTAACTGAAGGTTTTGGGTTTGAATCCCATGTTTGGAATTGTGGAACCTACACTGCTGAGGAGTTTATAATGTAGTGTAGTGTAGTGAATTGACTTAAACTAGATAGTTAGATCGATAAAACAGGGAACGTTAGATTTGTGTTTCATATTTGTATAAGACATCTCAGCGGTAAAACTCATCCTTCACTTAGACATGAAGGGTTAGATTTAGCGTCGACTGATCCTATTAGAAATAAAAGTAGACTGAAATTATTTCTCCGAAAATTCTTAATAATCATGAAACATTAAGTCCAATGGCAATAGATTCGTTGCAAATTTTAAACCTTTTGAATGCAAGTCAAGACGTATAAATCACTAAAACAAAAACAATAATGCGATCGATCAAAAATGGCAGTGTAATTCTTCTGAGGTGTTTTTTTTATTTCTTAGTTTATCTAATGATGTTAGCAATTCACTTGGTATTCTTTTGCTTGAATCTTCCAATTAAGATTTTAAAACTGCAATTGATCAGTATCTTATTAGCATATGTGCATATTGTGCGTATTGCCTCGATATTGCCTTAATTCACAAAGATAGATAGTGGCTAGTAGTGGGATCAAGGACGCGCGTTTCTTCCCATTTCGGATTCGTCAGCTAGATGTACCTGAATTTCAGAGTTGATGTTCACTCAGTACCGTTCGCTTCAAACGCCATTGCGTTATTCACTCAGACGAAACGTACATCCTGCATTCCACTGATTCGAGTACATATATACATCGGGAAGAGAATGACTTATCGAGCGATATTTAAGTCATTAACATCTAGGCTAAAGAGAGATGCGTTGGTAGGTTGTTACATCTGATTAAGCATACACGTTTATACAGACATGATAGTAACCATAATAGTACAAAGAATAGATTATTTGTTACTATTCGAATAACATTATCCATTAAATAAGTTAATAAAAGAACTCGACAAAATTAATTATAAACAAAATTGATTGTAGGTGAGTTGCTATAATTCAATCTATACAGTTTCATACTAGGATGAATGAACTTTTTACTTTGTTCTGGTTTCCAATGCTTTTGTGATACTAACCATAAAAAGGTTATTAAATAATTAATTAAAGGAAACATTTATTCGTAGATTGGTTAAAATTAAGCGTTAATAGCGCTGGATACCGGCTCAATGGTCTAGAGGTTAAATGTTCGCGAGCGAGACCGAAGGTTTTAGGTTCGAATCCCGCGGAAAAGATCGTGGTTGCGTGCTAGTGAGGGGTTACGTACTGAGACGAAATGGCCTCCTGATGACCACAGGTTTCTCATGATAGTCTAGTTTTAATTGATCCATGAATTCAACTAAGAAATATTTACCATATTTTCATATCTAACAAGATATTCAATATTCTTTCTAATATAACAGTAAACGTTTTGTCAAAAATAACTTTCAGATTGAAATGTTAAATAGTGAAATTTCAAAACGTGAATGTGAATTATACACATTACAATCACGTTTAGAAATGACTGATAAACAACATCAAGATCAAAATCATCATATTAATGTATTAAAAGAACAAGTGAATACACGTGAACATAAAATCTCCATGTTAACAGCTGATGTAAGTATTCTTTTTTTTGTATGTGTGATTTTATATTGATGTACATGAAGTGTTTTGATAAATACTATAGAAATTTAGTTATAGTGGTCTAGAGGTTAATTGTTCGCTTGCAAGGCAGAAGGTCTTGGATCCAAGTCCTACGTGCCGGATCGTGGATATGAATTGTTAGAGTCCTAAACTAGGAAGAAACAGTTGCCCAGTACTTCAAGGTTTTTAATGGTGATCGACATATGATCTATGTATGATAAGTCTTGAGGATTGGACGCTATATTCGTCTCCTAGGCTATTCTGTAACCCCCAAGCTAGAACTATAAAGCAACCTGAACACGAGAGAGAAGACTCAAAGTATGCGAGAAGTAGTTTACCTCAAGGTTCATTTTAATACAGAAAATACAGGGTTTTTATAATATTTTAAATGTCTTTGGGATTCTAAAAGATTCTGGAATGCTACTAAACATAGTAGCAGTGTAGCAAACAGCCAATCAGAACCTCTATATATGACGTTTCGCTTCTTTGATATTTTTGGTAAAAACTTCAAGTGAACGCTGATTGGACGAAACGCATTTTAGTGATTCCTGATGCTTGCTTGTCTTTTGCAAGCAATTTTCTGGACCACTCCAACAATATAAAATAAGAATAGTAAGTTGTTAGCATTGAACATAAAATCAGCGTTAACAGTTAAGGATTAAGTTAGATATTCTTTTTAACTAACTGACTCACTCATTCATACGCTTACTCATTTACTTATTTATATCCACTTCTTCCTTTCACTCCTTTTTTCTTTTCTTCTCTCCATCCTGCTTTACTTTTACGTATTTACTTATTTATTTACATACTTGCTCACTCATGTTTACTTACATCTGTTACTCCTGATGGAAAATAGACCGCCAATCAGCATTCTTCAACCCACTCTATCCTGGGGCTTCCTTTCCAGTTCTATCCAATTATTGTTCATTCTTTTCATATCTGTTTCCACCTCTCGGTGTATTGTGTTCTTTGCTCTCCCTTTCGTCCTTTAATCTTGAGGATTGTAAGGGCTTGTTTTGTGACGCAATTGAGCGGTTCATTCATACATATACGGGTGATATATACTATCGATGAAAAGTGTTTGGTTGTAATGCATAAAACTATTTGTATGTATATGTAATTTCAATGTTAGATAAATTGTGTTATCTCTTTTGAAATTATTATGAGAAGGGGTTTTGTGGAGAATTTAGAAATTTCACTAGTTGAAATCATAAGTCAATTGAAGCTAGACCACCATGGAAAACCTGGAAGCACTAAACAGCTGTTTCGTCCTAGTATGGGACTCCTCATTAGTGCGCATCCACGACCCCCCCCCCCCGCGAGATTCGAACCCAGGACTTATCAGTCTCGCGCGCGAGTGCCTAACCATTAGACCACTGAGCTGATCGGCATCCAACGGTGTTAATGTTTAACTTCAATTTGGTCTAGCTTCAACTGACTCATAATTTCAACTAGTGAAGTTCCTTTTTGAAATTAATAATAATAATAATAATAATGATCATTTAAAATAGGCAGAAGATTTTCGTAAAAGAATTAAAGAGAAAGAAAATCTTTTAGAAAAGAAATCAAAAGCATTGAATAGTGCACAATCAGCTAAACGACAAATTGAACAAGAATTAACTGAACTTAAAGATCAAATGGATATAAAAGATAGAAAAATATCCTTATTACAGAAAAAGGTAAGAAAATGAATTAAATTGAATTGTATTATTCCGGCGTTTAATGTAGATTTATATATAAACAATTATATATGGTTAATTTATTATAATCAGAGAGGGGTTTTGTGGATATCATAGAAGGTTTAACAGTTGAGATCATGAGTCAATTAAAGCTAGATCACCGTGGAAAACCTGGAAGCACTGGACGGCCATTTCGTTCTATTGTGGGACTGTTAAGCAGTGCATATCCACGACCCCATCTCGAGTGATTCGAACCAATGACCTATCAGTCTCATGCGTGATCGCTTAACCTCTAAACCACTAAGCTCCCCTTGGCCTTAGTTGATTGTGGTGCCTGGTCCAGATTTCTTGGTTCACCTTGACATCATACATGATGTCCCTATGTTTCTTTGTGATTTTACTCTCTACCCATCTATCACATCCGTGTCTATAGTCCCGCGCATACACTTTCGCACCAACTTTGCAGGGAATTCTAGTATTCTTCATCTGGGGTCTTTGCTGGGCCTCTCGATTGGGCGTCATCACACTATGAACTGTCCGTAGCTTTCGCTGCATAAGGATCGCAGCAGGGGATTCGAAGTTTGCCAAGAAGTCGTGCTGGGTCGTCCGGTACACAACTAGAAATCACTCTAAGATATCTTCTATGGTCCCCTCCCCTCGTGCTTTAAGCATGGCTCGTTTAAATATACCAACGAATCTTTCAGCTTGTCCATTAGATTGCGGGTGATATGGCGGAGAACGGACATGGTTGATCGAGTTTTACAGGAAAAATTCTCGGAACTGGCTAGATGTGAACTGTGAACCATTGTCTGTTACTATTGTTTCTGGAAGACCATGCTGAGCGAAGATCTGATTAAGGAGTTTGATGGTCCGAGTTGTAAAGGATGGCGCAATTGGCAATATCTCTGGCCATTTGGAGTAGGAGTCAACTAGTATCAGATATGTGGTACCCTCTAGCGGCCCGGTAAAGTCAATATGCACTCGCGACCAGGGTTTTTCTGACTTTGGCCAGGGTACTGGAGACAAATTAGAAGGATTTTTTGCAGCTGTTTGACAATATGAACATCTTTTGACAAAGTCGATAATCTGCTTATCCATGTTCGGCCAATATGCATAGGTGCGAGCGATGGATTTCACACGGTTTATCCCTGGGTGTCCAGAGTAAAATTGGCGTAGGACCTTGAAACTTAGGGTTGTTGGAATTACTACGCGATCACCGAACATCAGACAGTCGTTAACAACACAGAGGGCTCTGCGACGATTCGCTAGTTGTTGAATATCACAATATCGCTAATAGTGTAGCATCGGAATCCTCTTCCCTTGATATTATGGCTATGAGTGTGTCCTCATCTGTGGTAGGATGGTTACTGATAAGTCTGGACAGTGCATCTGCCTGACCGAAATCTTTGGAACGTCGATACTGGATGTCGAAGTCGTACCCTAATAACGCCAATGCCCAACGTTGAAAATGATTAGCAGAATGCGCAGGAATACCTTTCTTTGATCCAAATATTGATAACAACGGCTCACAGACCATGTGAGCAAGGTGAAACGGCGCCCGTAAATGAATTTGTGGAATCGCCGGACAGCAAAAATTAGGGCTAACGCTTCCTTCTTGATCTGGACGTAACGTTTCTCAGTAGGTGTTAGTGTTTCCGAAGCGTGCATCTCCGCTTTCTCTGAACCATCGGGAAAGACATGCGAGAGTACGGTACCCAGTTCATATGTTGAAGCGTCAGCAGCAACCACAATGGGTAGTTTCGGATTGTAGTGGGTTAGCAGTAGATTGGAACTTAGCATGGCTTTAAGTTTTGAAAAGGCTGACTCACATTGCGTTGACCAATTCCAAGTAGCATTCTTTTCTAGCAGACGATTTAATAGATATGGAAGAAATGCTGAATAGTAGCTAATCATTCCCAGAAATGGCCGCAGTGAGGAGACATCAGTGGTGGCAGGCATTTTGTGGATTGCGTAAGTATCTTGAGGATCAGGGTGTCGTCCGGAAGTATTAAAGGTAAACCTCAGGTATTTAACGGAACGTAAGAAGAACTGGCATTTTTCTGGGCGAAGGCGAAGATCATTATCCTGGAGACGTTGCAGAACTAAGTGTGTTCTGGTATGCAATTCATCAGCAGTTGAACCGACAATGAGGACATCGTCAAGGTATGTAGCAACAACAAGAAAATCTGCCAGAATAGTACCCATGGTCTGCTGGAAGATCGTTGGAGCAGTTTTGATACCAAAGTGTAACCGGGTATACTGAAAAACTCCTCGGTGAGTTTTGATTGTCAATAACTCTCTCGATTCAAGAGCGACTGGAATTTGAAGGTAAGCATCTGCTAGATCCAGCTTAGCAAAGTAGGTACCACCATTTAAAATAGTAAATAAGTCATCTGAGATTGGCAGCGGATAGTGATGCGGTTGTAGAGCCGCGTAGAGTTCTGTGAAAACGTCTGCATAGATGCGTATGGAACCATTGGACTTTTTTACAACTACAATTGGTGTAGCCCATGATGAATAGTAAACAGGTACTTGAACACCCTCAGTTTCCAAACGTTGAATTTCAGCGTCGACCGGAGGTAGAGATGCGTATGAAACTGGACGTTTTGGGCGAAAAACTGGAGTAGCTTCTGACTGCAGTCTTAAAACAGCTTCCGTTGTGGAAGAAAGTCCGAGACCAGGCTGAAAGAGTTCAGTAAATCGTTTTTGAAGGTCTGCAGCATGCTGTTGTGTAGAGGCAGTAGTTTGTACTTGATTGCAGATAGCGCTAATGGGAAGATCAGCGAGATCAAGTTCTCCGAACCAATCTAAACCTAATAGGTTGAGTGGAGAATTGGTGGTGTAACACGTCCCATCGATGGTTGTACCTCTAAACGAAATGTAGCAATAGAGTTCACCATGAGGGCGGAGATGACCCCCACAGGCACTGACGGGTGTCTGACAGGATGGTTTGATGGGAGGTTGGCCCAAGGTTCCCCAAGTCTTTCTCAACAGAATAGTGATATCTGATGCAGTATCCAACTGCAACCGAACTGGCTGACCATTGATTGAGAGGGTTGGAAATTTGCGTCGAGTCGCGACATGAGTGTGGAAGACTGCTGCTAAACCCCTTGATGAGATAATCGGCTTTTTGGGAAAGCGACGCTGCGTCTGTGCATTTCGACGGTTATTGGATCGGTTGGATTTGCAAAAGCCGCTTTTGTGACCAACTTTCTGACAGCGATCGCACATATGCTGTTTGAATGGACAAAACTTCACATCATGCCAGGCTCTACAGTGCCAACATGGCGATGGGGCTTCTTCTGAGCCGGTTTGGAGTGATTGGAGACAGAGACAGCTCTGGCGTTCGAAGGACTCAGGGTTGTCGATCTCGAAGATTTTTTCTGGTGCTAAACAGTATGAACTTCGGAACCACCCTGGCCCCCAGATCGAACCAAAGTAGTGTCACACTGCAGATTGATGATGCGTTGGTACTCGTCTATGATCGCATTGAGTGTCAGTGTTGGGTCTTGTTTAAGGCGGTTAAGCAACCGAGTTCTGATGTCGGAGAATTTGGGTGATTGAAGGCTGCATATGAGTACTGGGGACTTGAATTTGTCTTCAGTGAGGGATCTGAGCTTGAACCGTTCGCACTCACGGTTGACAACGCCGGCGTGGTTCAAGAAGTCATCGGACTCATTCATGACCAGTTTTAAGCACCGATATCAAGTATTGAAAAGTGAATGATGATCACCAGAAAGTTTTCTAAGAGATTGAATAGTGGCGTCGAAGGAACGGTTGCGTGGGTTCTGCAGTAGAATGATGTTGCAATACTTGCCCAGCTCGGATGAATCAAGTTTCCGAAGGAGAAGATGCACCTTCCACGAATCATCTCTGTCAGTAAAGTCAATTTTGGTAAGTTCTTCATAACGCCTGAACCAAGTATGAAATGTAATATTGGCGTCAGGATCATAAAGAAATCCTGAAATGCCACTGGTAATACCATCAACTGATTGAGGGACTGTCGGTGTACTTGGGACTCATCTCTATCAGCTTCAGCTGTTGTATGACCATGTTTTTTAATTTGGCTGGATCCATAGTTAGTCACCAACTTGTTTTCTAAATCTCCGTCGCCAAATTATTGTGGACCGCGGAGTGGTTACTGTAATTTCTACCGACTGACCAACTTCAGATATCCCAGAACGACCCTAATCTCCAAAATATCAGAACACGAACCGTAGATGAAAATTGTTTATGGGGTCAGGAGAAGAATAAGAATAGGAATAAGAATAATACTTTACAGACAAATGCATATTTATACAGTTAGGACTACCGTGAATATTGACCAGTAGGAAAATGACACCATTTCACGTTCAAGAATGGCATTAAACTTAACAGGCTAATTTTTGGGATATTTTTCTGAATATCCCAATACCTTATTAAAACTTCAATTGAATTTGATCCAATAATACAGAACTTTCATTAATTTTTATTGTGAAAATAATAAAAAAAAACAATTAATGAAATTTTATTTTAAAATATTGAAAATTACTAAACAAAAAATTATTTTTCAATTATTCATGACAGAACCAATGACCTTTTAGTCCTTATAGTTTGTTTTCTTCAAAGTCATTAGTTAATATCCGCCTGGAGCACCCCCCTCCCTACTGACGTTTCTGCCAGTTACAAGCCCGAATAAAAAAGGAGGGTTGGGCATAGAGTTAGCGAACCCATCCTTTAGAAAACTAACTCACTAAAAAAAAACATTGAACCAATCTAAGTTGTAAATGTTTATTATTTTTTGGCATACTTATTATCTCTATATCAAAGAAGTGAACTAAAAAATGGGGGAAAAGAGGGAGAATTTTCTTTAGTTTTTTTCCGAGTGAAATTAAAATAATCACTGATGTTTTAAAAATTGATTTTTTTCTCCTTTTCATTCAATTAACTATTTAACTGATACAAAGAATTCTATTAGGGTAAAGTAGGTTCAAGGAAGAAAACTCAAGTATTGATCATTAAATAAACCATGTAATCTGAAATTAATTCATTTATTATCAGAAACGGGTTTTGTGGAGATTGTAGTAATTTCAACAGTTGAAATCATGAGTCAATTGAAGCTAAACCACCATGGTTACGCGCTCACTCGTGAGACTGATAGGTCATGGGTTCGAATCTCGCGGTGTGGCGGGATCGTGGATGCGCACTGCTGAAGAGTCCTACAATAGAACGAAACGGCCATCCAGTGCTTCCAAGTTTTTCCATTGTGATCTAGCTTCCATTGAATCATGATCTCAACTGTTGAAATTCATTTATTATACTTTTTAAGAGTTATGAGTTTGATTCTTTATAGGATTACGAGTGCATATTTCTAAGGTCCTTAAATATGAGATATAACAATGGCTTGTTACAAAATATATTTCTGATGGAAATTAGCTCCAACTTGGATAAAACTCACTAGGAAATCACTTTAAGGAGCGATCGCAATATTTTATTTAGATTTAACAACAGATAAACATCAACCATGTTATATGGAAGGTGAATCACTAGATTTCCTACGATCATTTGAAGATTTTATTTTCATAATTCTTAGAACATTTCATTTTGATATACAGTTTTATTAACTCCTGTTGGGGTAATATTAGGAAGATATGATATATGTACTTTTTGATACAACAAAAATTCCCATGACTATACACTTACATCATTTTATAATCATTATAAGTCTACTGATAATTATTATGAGTAGTACAAGTTATTTAAAATAAAACATTTAAAACCGCAAATCTGTATCACCTTACATTGTAAACTAGATTGAAAATATAGAAGATTTACTTAATGATAAAGAAACACAATTAGCAACAGCTCAAGCTCGTCTTTCACGTATTAGTACAGAACGTGTCAGTTCAGATGGTGGACGTATTGGATGGGAGGAAACATTAAAAGATAAAGATCGACAAATTGAACGGTAAGAAAATATGATAAATAACTTTATATTTCATAATAATTTTGATTTGACTTGTTTACACTTCAGAATATCATTTCATTTTACGTTGAGTATTGTTTGTTAGATTCAACTATTTAAATGGATATAAATGATATGACTAATTGGAATGAACTTTACCTTGGTTCGTTAAGATCACTTATTTTTAGAGAAAGCTATAAAAACTCAAGCGAATAATTCTATTCTATGTATTGTATCTTTCCACTTCCTTACCATCTATGTACTTACGGTTAATTATTCATTGATTTTTAATAACCATTATTTAAACAAGTTTATTTTTATTTTCAAATTATGACCCAATTCATTACTTACTTACTTAAGCCTGTTACTCCCAATGGAGCATAGACCGCCGACCATAATTCTCCAACACACTTTGTCCTGGGCCTTCCTTTCCAGTTCTACCCAATTTTTGTTCATTTTTCTCATAACTGTCTCCATTTCTCGATGTAGTGTTTTTTTGGTTTTCCTCTTCTCCTTTGGTCTTGAGGATTCCACGTAAGGGCTCACCTTGTGACACAGTTGTGTGGTTTCCTCAATATGTGTCCTATCCACTTCCATCGCTTCTTCCTTATTTCTTCCTCCTCTGGAATCTGGTTTGTTCTCTCTCATAGTAGGTTGTTGTTGATAGTGTCTGACCAACGGATCCGAAGTATATTGCGTAGACAGCTGTTAATAAACATTTGTGTCTTCCGGATGATGGCTTTCGTAGTTCTCCAAGTTTCCGTCCCATACAGTAGAACCGTCTTGACATTTGTATTGAAAATTTTGAACTCGGCGTTGGTTGACAGTTGTTTTGAGTTCCAGATGTTCTACAGTTGTAAATATGCTGCTCTTGCTTTGCCGATCTGCGCCTTCATGTCTGCATCGGATCCGCCGTGTTCATCAATGATGCTGCCCAGATATGTCAAGGTTTTTACATCTTCCAAATCTTCTCCGTCAATTGTGATTGGATTGTTGCATGCTGTGTTGTATCGGAGAATCTTGGTTTTCCCTTTTTGTATGTTGAGACCTACTATTGCTGAGGCTTCTGCTACACTGGTCGTTTTCTCCTGCATTTGTTTTTGGGTGTGCAGCAGAAGGATCAGATCACCCCATCTTTTTTGCGCACTATATGAAGAGGTGAGGCCAAGGGACTGTGAGAAGGACGAATAATGCCAGTAGCTTTTAAATTGTCAGAATCACGTTTAGCGAAAGCTAACTTGTGCGGTGCCAGTCGGCGTCGTGTTGCCGTGAATGGGCGTCCGCGGGTAACTATTTGGTGTACCACACGATCGGTCACCGATGAAATCTCCTTGAGTGATTTAGTTAATTTGTGGAATTTCTCGAATAAAGCGTGGAATATATCGCCACGCGAATAAAAGACGTCTAAGATTCGGTACGCACTTGTTTGAGCTTTGAGGCCCATGAATTTGCTGTTCGATGAAGCATCAATTAGCTGCAGCCTACGTGAATTGACTAGCGATTCGTAGTGCTGTAGGAAATCAATATCGAGTATGGCTGTGGGAACATCGGCAATCATAAACGTCGACAGATACTGTCGTCGGTTGCCTAGGTTGACCGCGAGTTGTCGTGTACCATAGGTAGGAATGGCTGAGCCATTCGCATCACGTAGTCGAACCGTCGTAGCTTGTGACTTAGTGTTACCAAGAAGTACGACAGAAACATGGGCACCAGTATCTACTAGGTACCTAGCGTTCGTGCGATAGTCGTGCACATAAAACAAACGACCAACCTGGGGTGAACGGCTGGCGAGTACGGCCGCCTCTACCCCCCGGCCTTGGAGTTTTCCTCCTTGTATGATTACGGGGCTCGACAACGGCGGGAACCGGACCCGAAGGAGCGGCGAAACCAGCACCAACCTCCACTCGCTTCCGAAGCCGCATTTTGGAGTGGCTTGGAAGATGCCTTCGTTGGGAAAGTGGTTACGGATTTACGAGAGCGTGATCTGGCTCGAGGGACGTAGGGTTCGGGTATGTCGCAACGATCTCGAAAGTTAAGACGTGTATGAATACGACCGCCCCCATCACTTTGATCCGGGAAGTGACTAGCGTCCATATCCACGTTCGAACGTGACGTTTAGGCAACTATATAATTTTCTCGGTTGCCAGTTCTTGCCAATATTTTGTCTGCTATGACGGCCACCTGGTTGAGTGGTGCGTTCTCGAGCAGGGCCGTGATCGTTGGTTGGATGTGTGCTGGTAACGATTTGAGCCACAATTCCTTAGCAATTCCGGAATCAGCTGCCGTAGGTCCTGTGAGAGATTACAGGCGCGTGAGGTGGTGACTCAGCTTAGCATCACCCAGAGGGTGACGTGCTAATAATGTCCTCAACCGTTACTCCCTCGATGGGAGGGAATGTCTGAGGATCGCCTCCTTGAAACGATCATAAACGTTAGGCACATTGTGGTTGAGTACGACCTCACGAACAGCGACTATGTGATGCACTGGTAAAGATTCCAGAGCGTAGGCATATTTTTACCGTTGACTCGTAATGCGGCTGGTCTCGAACTGAGACGCCAGTGCAGCGAACCAAACTTCCGGGTCATGGGGGATAAAAGATACAGGTCTAAAACGGATAACCTGTACATCAGAGTTTATTATATTAATACTATTCTTATCGTTATCCGTCATTTCAAGTTGTTACCAGAATATTAGATATTGAAAAATATCAATATGAAAACGTGCAACCGACGTAGACAGATAAGTAGTAGACTCATCGCAATTGGCTTCTTTGGAAGATTTGGCCTCGATTGAAAAGTGTTCGTATTTTTGGGTTTACCAATTGTAGTGTGGTGTCGAGTTGTGGTTGTCTATGATCACCACTACAAGAAGGTTGCGTACCAGATATCAGAAGGCGATTGGAGGTTGTAGCGAGATATATTTGTTGGCGCTCTCGTGGTGTCGAAAGAATACCGAGATCGTGCCAAAGGAGTACAAGCAGATTTACTGAGCAGACGTAAGTGCGTGTGATAAAAGTAGGTCACTATATACTATCGACTAATTGCTTTAACTAATCAATTACTCTTGAATATATTTTCATCTTATACCATAATTGGTTATAACTTATTCTCATTCATTTGTATAGTTTAAAAGAAGCTCGTCAACGTAGTGAATCAGAAATTGTTGAAGAATTAGAAACACAAAAACGTTTAAATAATGAATTTAAAAATCGTTTAGATATTTTACAAAAAGAATTAGATGAGAAAACAACACAATTAATGGAAATACGCGATGAAACAAATGATTATAGAACATCAAGATTCAAATTAGAAACAGAAATTAATCAATTACAAACACAATTAAGTCAAAGAAATTCAGAAGTGACCACTTTACAAATGGAGAAACAATTAGTAAGTTGTGAAATGTTTTGTTTTTGATGTATCAAAATTGAAAAGCTCACTGGTCTAGTGGTTAGGCGCTCATGTGAAAGACTGATGGGTTCTGGGTTGGAATCTCGTGAGGCGAGATCTCAGATGTGCACTAGTGAGTATTCCTATCCTAGGACGAAACGGCCATTCAGTGTTTCCAGGTTTTCCATGGTGGTCTAACTTCAAATGACTCATGATTTCAACTATTGAAATCAATAAGTTGTTTTTTTTTGTTTTTTTGGTGTGTCAAATTTGAAAACTGAGGAATTTATTTTCTTTCTCGTTTTACACTTAAATTCCATGAATTACTTATTCGTGGTTATTTCTTACGGAATGATAGGGAGTCATGTGGGTCCGAATTCAACAGAGAGCATCAATGATTTCAAGATTTCAAGTAACCTTTACAGGCAAGAGCCAACTAACAAAAAACTTAGGTTAAGAGAAATTTCTTGTGGGTAAATCTCCAGTAGTTTATCATTCATAATATACATAATATTGAGTTACTTAGACTAATGACTACATTGGTGATAAGTCTTGTTAGTTGAACGCTATATTCGGTTCCTAAGCTATTCTCGTAACCCCCAAGCTAGAACTTCACAGTAACCTGAACACGAAAGAAAAGACGCAAAATATACGAGAAGCACTTTACTCTAAAGGCTCGTTCTAGTACAGAAAATATAGAGTTATAAAGTATTATATATGTCCTTGGGTTTCCCGAAAATTCTGGAATGCTACTAAACATAGTAGTAGTATAGATAATCATCCAATCAGAAACTCTAGATGTGACTTTTCACATTGTTTATGTTTGTCTAAAATCCAACTGATTGCTGTTTGGATAAAATGCTTCTTAGTGTTTTCCCGAGCATTTTTTGTCTTTTGCGAGAAGTTTTCTGGATCACCCTAACAATGGGATCATGATGAACATTTTGATGACAATACTGTTATTTCGGATATTTCCCTACTCCTTTTTCCATAGTTAAATTCACAACCAATGAGATCCTGGAAGCATTGGATGCCTGTTTCGTCCTATTATGGGATTATTGATCTGGAAATTTAAACAGGTGGACATTTATAACAAATCCCATATATTGATTCATTGTGAATATAATATTAATGATAACAAGATCTTCTTTTTTGTTGCCTACTAAGAATTCCCAATCAAGAATGTTTCATAGACAGAAAATATTTCCCATGAAACGGGAGTGATACATTCATCACAAAACCCTATAGTATTGATTAACTAAAATGATTGAATGAATTAGAGTTCGATTTTCAAAAGTCAAGTAAAAGATTCAGCCTATCCTAACTTTTCGCCTACTTTTATATCATTACCAAGGTTATTATTCAAAAACAGTATGGTTTAGACGAATAATTAGCTTTGTGTTTGCCTAATGAATTAGATTATTTCTCACTGAACTATATCAGGAATCTTACAATAATAAAATCACTTATATGAGTTCAGCTGTACAAATTTAATGATATAAGCAAAGATGGACAGTTGCTAGCAGTGGAATCTAGGACGCGTGTTTCGTTGTGTTTGGCACTCGTCACCCGGATGTAGCTGCATCTGTGCTTATAAAGCTTATGACCTAAGGCAATATCGAGGCCATCCACACAGGATGCACATGTGTCATTAAGAGACTAACCAATTGCAGTCCTAAATAATAATGAGAAGATACAGTTAAACAACACCACGTGAATTTAGAATTTAATGATATTTCTGTTGAAACATACTATAATTCCTAACTATTTTCAATTATGTCCTAAGTGCTCCAGCCTGAATGTTCCACATTACGGAGTCCTGTAACTTTTCGTAATTTCAAATATAAATTTCTAATTGAATGTATAATTGAAAATGGAAAGTTCAAGGATTCAGTGATTACTAGTGAAAATCAAGTGGATGATAAACTCACCGTAAATAATCATCTATCTGGGTGTTCTTTTGTCAAATCATATCGCCTTTCTCACACATATTTACTTAATTTTAATGACTTACTTACGACTCTGACCTTTAATGGAGCATAGGCTGCCGACCAGCATTCTCCAACTCATTCTGTCCTGGGTCTTCCTCTCCATTTCTATCTGATTGTTGTTCATTCTTCTCATATCTGTCTTCATTTCTCAGCATAATGTGTTCTTTGGTCTTCTTCTTGTCCTTTCGCTTTGAGGATTCCATGTGAGGACTTGCGTTGTAACGCATTTTGTCCAAGTGAATTTAAATTCACCCCATTGCACAAGCAAGTGGCTATCAGGACTCAGTAGCTAAGTGGATATTTAGTGGCCGTTGGATCTGACTCCAATTAGATAGTACGAATAATTGTATGGAAGATTGGCATCACCTATTCTCGTATATCATCGTCGACTTAGATCGCGTTAGTCCATAACGGAATTAAATAAGTCGATTAACGAGAATGGCATTTGAATACATATATTTTGTATGTAAAGTGAATGCGATAGAACAAAGCGAAATGACGCGCGGGGAAGATGGCTGGGAAGCCAACTCCATTTTAGTCAAGCATTACTCAATATTTATAATCAGACAAATTAAAGGTACAGACATGTGATTAATGAAATAAGAAGTGCACACACATATACGCTCATATAAAAACAGTCTAGTTGATAAGCGAATAAATGACAAGGTCAAAATATGGCTCAAGTAAAATGAATAAAATAGGATGTCCGGAAGTTAGAATAAGGTATATGGGCTTGGCATGATAACTGACACTACAGATAACACGACGGCGTTTGGAGCAAATGGTACTGGGTTAGAGTCCCAGAGTGCACATCAGCTCTGAGATGCAGGTACATCCAGCTGACGAGTCCGAAAAGGGACGAAACGCGCGTCCTGGATTTCACTACTAACCACTATCCATCATTGCTTACAAATACACAATATTATTTCTCTTGTTTTTTGTGTCTTAGTTACAAAAACAAATAACCACTGAATCTGATATGAAATTTTTACAAAGAACAGCAGAATTAGAAGGACAATTAAATCATTATATGGAAAATTCATCTAAACTTCAAACAGAAGTAGATCGTTTATTAAGAACAATTGATACAGAAAAATTTGATAAAGAAAATCAATTAAATGAATTGAAAGAGTAAGTGATTAGTTTTAGATGAGTTTACTGTTATTCATATTACATTCTCTAATCATAAGGATTGAATTACTTACTTACGTACGTCTATTACTCCCAATGGAGCATAGACCGCCGACCAGCATTCTCCAAAACACCATCTCCTGGTCCTTCCTTTCTAGTTCTACTCAATTGTTGTTCACTCTTCTTCCTCTTCTGTTTCTCATATCTGTCTCCATTTCTCAGCGTAATGTGTTCTTTGGTGTTCCTCTTCTCCTTTAGCTTTGAGGATTTCATGTGACGGCTTGCTTTATGACACAGTTGGGTAGTTTCCACAATGTGTGTCCTATTCACTACTTCTGGAGCCCTTCTAGGGCTACTGCCGGTCCCAATGTCGGACAAAGGAGGAGGGTTGTGCATGGGGTTAGCGACCCCATCCTATAGAAAACTAACTCGCTAAAAGAAACGCTAACCAGAAAAAATAATTCAATGATTGAATTGCTAAGATTTTATTATCGTTCAGAACAATAATGTCATCGTTTATATCCAGTGGAAGTTAACATTTTGATTATTCTATTCAATTCATAAATAGATATCATTAGCCAGTTTTAACTTGATGATTTCAAATAAATTAAGCGTTCGATAGATTGTTATTCATAGAAATAATATCTATGCAATATCCCAATGGGTAGAAGCATTAAAATTTCTGATGTTTCCTGACTAAATGTCAGCAATTTCTTGGAAAAACCTTTTTACATTATTTTATTTGGCTATTCGTAACTTTTATTTGTTACATATGATCTAAATTAAGGTACCACTAAAAATCAGGAAAAAACAAGACATCCATCTTCATCTAGAATTGAACTCCTCAGCATTGCTCACTGATGACCCAGTTTAGGTATAAAACCCAAGACCTCCAGGATTTCTGGAGATCTCCAAATGTTCCCTGGTGGAGAGCAGTGAGCGTATACCATAAAAGTCTCATATCTGGACAAAATAGCTGTCCATCGCTCTCATGTTTTCCATGGTACCTCGAATATGATCAATCTGTGAAGAATACAATCTATTAATTAAATAAGTCTGCAAGAAAATCTCTTCAACTATTACAAGTATCTGTCTTCTTTTTACCGGATATTCCTTCATACTGATTTCTAGCCAACTTTGTTCCTTATTTCATTGTTACAGAGAACTTCGTGAAGCACAAAATAATTTGAATAATTTAAAACGTAGTCAACAAAATGAACGAAAAAAATCAAGTCAACAACTTGAAGAGTCAAGACAACGTGAAGAGAATGCACAATCTGATAATGAAATATTAAAGGTAGGCGTTGATTTAAGTGTTAATCGTGGTACTTTACACTTTTACTATTTTTTTCGAATAAAATATCTGACGTTAGTTTGTTGAAGGTAGCCAGTTGAAACTCTTGCTTTACTTAGATTTCATGATAGTTCAACACTTATTTACTTGGTGTGTTTGTAATCTTCACTTTATTTATATTTCTGGCTAAACTTCAGTTGATTGCTGATTGGACAAAATGCTTCTTAGTGTTTTCCTGAGCCTTTCTGGATCACCCTAACAAGTTGATTAATTGGACAACTATATCTAGTTGTTAAAAACGATTGAAGTATGGCTTCAATTTCGCTCACGTAATCACTAATACTAAGTTCAATGGTGCTCATTTAATCTTAATTGAGATTACCTTTTTAAACCGGTTTGAATTATTTTTTTCTGGTTAGCGGTTTTTTAGCGAGTTAGTTTTCTACAGGATGGAGTGGAGTCGCTAACACCATGCCAAACTCTCCCCCTTTATCTGAGCTTGCGATTGGCAGTAACCCCAGAGAGGCTTTATATGGAGTTAATTAAGTGCGATACGAATATGAAAGATACCATATTGTATTTAAAAAAACATCTTATCTCAGACATTTATTCATTTGAATAATTTCAATACTCATTTGATAGACAAATGACAAAGAAATTGAACAATCATTTATTTTAAAGGAAATAATGAATTATCATTTATCTAATATAAATCATATCATCAACTTGAAGTTGAAAACTATTAGATCCTTGGAAAATTACTTATGCCTGTTACTTCTCGTGAAAGAGCATAGGTCATACACCAGCGCTCTCCATCCAACGCTGTCCTGGGAAATCCTTTCCAGTTCTCCCGCTGTAGCTTTCCTAGAGTTACTGCCGATCCCAAGCCCAGGTAAAGTAGGAGGGTTGGGCATGAGGTCAACAACCCCATCCCGTAGAAGAAATCATGCTAAAAATACGTCAACCAGAATCTTTTGATAACAACAAAATATTCTAACCAATATAATAATTCAGATCACAATGTAGTAATATGAATAAATTTTTCGGGCAGAGAAATTCACAATTTTTTTAAACATTAGGCTTCAGTCTTAATGTTATTTCATTAAGCCAATTATTATCAGCGTTACGGGTCAATACATAATAATTTTGTTCTTGGTTGTTAGGGACGTCAGATCCTCGGAACGCACCTGGGAAAGGACCTAATTTTTGTAATTTTATTTAGAAAATTTGAATTTCTTCATTTTCGCTCCAAAGGCTCTCTTGTCACCTTCATGTCGTATTTCCCACTGGGAAATATCTTAAATGCTATTGGTCCGTTGCGTCTTTTAATATGTTATTTGGTAACTCTCCCCAAGGACGGTTTTGTACTGTATACATATACGTTTTGAATTGTGTTTGTTGTTTCTGGCTGTTTGCAGAATATAATGCCCCATTCCAAGCTTGGACTTCTCTCTCTAGTTAGCGGGACTGGGACGTATCAATAGCTAGCTTACTGGTCTTTGGCAACCGAGTCTTGTTTCTCGTTCGCAGATTAAGTGAACTCTTGATAGCTTCAACCCCAGCATTGGTTCAAATCGTGAATCGACTGGTGTTAGACTACCATTAGAAACCTGGAAGCACTGTCAGTCGATACATTATCATTCTCAACCTTTCATCCATTATCTGAGGTAGATAGTTGTCTCTACCCGACACGGATTGGAGTTCATGGCTTATCACTAGAACTCCAAAAAATCATCTTGGATGAATGTGTTGCGCAGCCATTCATGGATCGATGGAAGTTAGGCATTAACAACGTTAGATGCCGGCTTAGTGGTTTAGGGGTTAAGCGTTCGTATGTGAGACCGAAGGTCCTGGGTTCGAATCCCGCGTGCAGGATCGTGGGTACGCATTGCTGGGGAGTTCCATACTAGAACGATACGGCCGTTCAGTGCTTTCAGGATTTTAATGATGGTCTAACATCAAGGGATTCATGATCTCAATTAAAAACTTAACAATTTCCACAACCCCATACTGATAATTTTGTTCTTGGCAATTCTGCATTTCATTTGATTGATAATAATTGCTAATAAAAAAGATGAATAATCAACAAAATGTTGATTTTGCTTTATTATTGTTTTTCATTTGCAGGGTATTATAACAGAGAAAGATGGAAGAATTCGTGAATTAGAACAAGCTTTGCGCGAAAGTGTACGTTTAACAGCGGAACGTGAAATTTACGCCTCCGGTCGTGATGATGAAACAAGACATTTAGAGCAACAGGTATATTGATTTTTCTTATTTCTACAGTATCCTGACTACTAATAATAGTAATATTAATAATAATGCTATGATGAGACACTTTTCCATAAAGTGGAACTAACTGCGGATTCATCAAAATACGCGAAACCCTGAACAGTTGGTTAGTTTTAGATCGCAATCTTTGTTACAATACATGTCGACTATTAGTCGAATAACTTCAGATATTGTAACGAACTTATAAGTTTTTTATGCTTTGGACCTCGTCTTTAATTGACCTGAACTGACTTCATTATTATCCTTAGGTTAGTCATCGGGGTATAGCTATATTGTGTTCCATTTAAAAAATTCAGAAGGCAAATACAAACTAGGTATTAATCTATTTTTGTATGTATGTTGATTCGACAGACCATATGTTTGGTAATCAGACTAACGAAGGGAAGAGAACATGAAGAGTGTCATTTAGATATGAACATGGTTCCTACACTAATAACAAATCATGACGAAAATTCATCTTGAAGTTACAAGCCACCTAAGTATAAAAGAGTCCTGATAAAATTAGTAAATAAGGGTTCTGAAGATTGTACAGTTTGTTACTTTCAACTACACTGCTCAAATAGCACTATGTTAACGTCTCAGATTGTGAAGCTAAACGATTTGTGTTCGAGTCCCACAGGGAGCATCAGTTTCCTCAAGATGGAAGCTATACCTTGTTGATAAGATTCAGCTAGCAAGCAGTCTAAGTTTTATAGGGTATCGTAATAACTATGTCCAATCACCAATCATATTTACAAACTACATTAAGCAGTAACAGTTATGTACCCAGAATTATAATAATGAGTTGTAGCTAGTGAGCTTTAATTTCATAAAGCTTATGTTTTGCGTCACTAGTGTTAACTAATGATGCCTTTGAAATATTGCAACCTACTTGATGTTGGAAATGTGAATTATTAGATGTTAACTCAATAGTTTAAAAGAGTAACCCGCTTGCTAAGAAACCTAAAGATCCTGAGTATGATCCATGTTGCGGGAGTTAATGGATAAGAAGTTTAGTGCTAAAGTAAAATAGTTGTTACATCCACCTTGATTATCAGTGGTTTTCTAACTGAAGTCTGTCAGTGTCATCGACTACAGACAATTTCAACATTGATACTCTAAAAACTGCAAAAATGCAACTGCAAAACAATAAAAATTGATGAGAGTCATGTTAAAAACTGAAAATACGAGAGTTACATAACTGTCTTTGTAGGTTCCAGTTAAACACATCTTTTAAATCAACAGTCGTGTTACGAAACCTAGATTGAGCTTAATCTTGTTATGAGGACATATACCAAGTAAAAAAAAGTACTTTTCCCTTTCATTTATTTGTGCGTCTAATTGTAGGTACGTGAATTACGAAGTAATCTGGAACATTTTCAACGTGAAAGAAATAATCTCTCAGCTCAGTTAGCTTCAGCACAAGAAGAATTAACTGATCGTGAAAATCAACTTAAAACTTTAGAACAAGAATGTGTAAGTTATTTGGTTAACTTCTGTAATGAATTTAATCATGTAACTGGAATGTTTAAACATTATGATTCATTCTCGTTTGTAAACAGTCTTATTCTCAATTCCTAATGTTAACATTTCAAACCGATGTGTCTAGAACTTCTATTGCACATTAACTTCCTCTATTTAAATTACCACGTAATGGGAACTGGAGTAGAAACAGGCCGGAAGATAGCTAGATTTCTTTTTACCAAAAAGTAGATTTATCCACCAATCAATAAAGTCACTGACGTTTGATAGATTGAGACTATTTTTTTTTTAAATTTTGGCTAATTATCATGATTCGGAATATTGGATAGAAGTAGCATGATTTTCATTTCTTTTTTCCCTATCTTCTCTTAAATAAAAACGGATTGATTATGATCAATCTTTGTTGATCCTGTCAACAAATATTTCTAAATTATCAAAATGTAAAAATGGTGAACATTTTAGAGAAAAAATATATATTATATATTTAAACACATAAACATTGGTACAAAGGGGCACCGAATACATATAGACCACACAAGTCACTTCATTTGTATCTGGGCTGTGATACTGCCCGGGTGTTTTTTTAGGGGACCACATCTGGAGCCTTCGACCTGAAGGTCTTATCCACAAGGCAGTGAAGAAATATCAGGAGATTCAGTCCTATGGTAGCCGGTGACCAATCATTGATTCATATGCCATTTATTCCTTCAGGATACTGGAGCCCATGTGAATCATTGGTTTGGAATCAGGGTTTCCCAGCTCCCTTAGATGGACTCACGGTGTCCACCGAGCCGGTTAAAGCGACGGACATTCGCCTTTCGTCCTCTCGACTTCGTAAGTAACAGTAATGCCTCAAGAAGGCGATTTGTAGGACTTCCCTGGTAGTGATTGTATGCACTTGGCCACTTGAGAGCATTTCGAGAAGGAAAACTGAATCTCACCACTCTCAGCCGTACCACGGCATTGGGGAGCATTCTATCAATAAAATCTAGAAAATACAATTCATCGTTTAATAGATAAGACTATATTCCAATATTTATGCTTCCATTGAAACTTAAATCCGTTAGTGATCTCTTCAAATGTCATAGTCATATGGTAAAACGTAAGAATTTTCAACTTTCAAGATCAATTCTGATATTGTCTAATGAAACCAATATTAATCATTAACAACTTGCTTGTGAAAAAGTTGGTCAAAGACTTGTTATTAACAGTCATGGCACGTACGAAGCAGACTTCCTGTAAGAGTACTGATAAAAAGGAAACAAGAAATCAGTTAGCTACCAGGGCGGCACGTATGGCTTCACCAGCGACTGGTAGTGTTAAGAAGCCTCATTGTTATCGTCTTGGAACAGTTGCCCTACGTGAGATTCGTCGTTGCCGAAATTCGACCGAGCTACTCATAAGATAAAAAAAGCTGACACAAAATAGTATCTTAACCTATTCAAAGAATGTAGGATTAAGAAATGAAGCACAATGATGTTAATGACAATGGTAATTTACAAGATCTCAAACATTCATGCGAATACTATAGGGGATAAGACACATGTCCATATATATATATATATGTTAGTGGAGCTTTTCATTTTGACGTAAATTAGATCGGACGATGTTGTTGAAGTGCTCATCACTTTAATTGCCAGGGATCTGACTCCGATTGGATGGTATAAATGTTATTGAAATATACATATCGTTAAAATTATCGACTTAAATCGTGTTAGTGAATAACGGAATTAAATAAGTCAAATATGAGAATGAACGTACATTTTGTATAATCGTTTATCGGAACAGATAATCAGAGAGACGTAGCTAAGGTAGCAAAGAAGAGAGAGCAAAACGAAAGGAAATGACGAGCAGTGGAGAAGGCATGTAAACCAACTCGATTTAACCAAGCGTTAATCAATATTTATCGCCACACAAAAATAAGTTACATATATGTGATGAGTGAGATAAGAAGTGCACAAATATACGCTTATATAAAAACAGTCAGGGTTGATAAGTGAATAAATACTAAGGTCAAAATGTAGCTTAAAAGAAATAGATAAACTGGCTTGTCCGGAAGCTAGAATAAGCTATGTCCGCTCGACATAGGACAAGGCACTACAATATATTCTGAAAACAATAACTCCAGAATTCATGCCAGTTTACAGACATGATCAGTTTGATATGGTTAGTAACGGTATTGGGTTCGAGTTCCAAAGTGAACATCAACTCCGGTATACAAGTACATTCAACTGTCGAGTCCCAAATAGGACGAAACGCGCGTCCTAGAGTCCACTTCTAGCCACTATCCATCTTTACTGATAATGCTTGTAAAATTAAGGCAATATTGAGGCAATAAGCACAATATACATTTGTATGCCAATAAGAGACAGATCAGTTACATTTGGTATTTACAAATTACCCTGGCTTCAGATCCCTTGTCATGTAATTTATCAAAGGCCTTTAAAGATAAATATTCACTGAAATAGAAACTTTATATTTAGTTATTATGTATCTTACAGTAAATCTTTGTTCTTAATCAATAATTTAGTTCCAGAATTATTTACCTGAATTGGAAAAATTGCGACGTTCAAATCATGAAGCCAATTTACGTGTAGCAGCTATGATTAAACTGACACAAGGACGTGAGCATACTTTAACTGATCAAGATCGTGCTGCAGTATGTCTCATTTTCAATTGTCTTATTCATTTTTGATGACATATATATTTATGTAGTCTATACATGTTATTGGTTGACAAGTGGTCTTAATAATAGCGGGGTTCTACATTTTTTCTGTATCAAGGATTTTGATAATCATGAGACCCTCCTCTCAGTAACTCGAGATATTTTTTTGATGGATTTTTGTTCTCTGAGCTGAATGGTTTGACTGCTAATTAGCAGTCAAACGCCGTGATATCTCCTCACTTATATCAATGCACTTGGACAGCTGCGGACACTCATTCGATTGGAAAAACGTAGAAATCTTAGACAGAGGAAATTCCAAAAACACCAGAGAATTTTTAGAAGCCTGGCACTCAGGTCAATCAGCAATCAACAATTATATTGAAATCAATCCAATTTATCAGCCAATCAGGAAAATCCTGCACAAATACAGGAACAAAAATCAAACCAATAGGAGACATAACCAAAACAAAGAAGTAAACAATGACAAATTTAAGGTAAATAAGAACCAATCAACATCGAGTTGTACAGAACAAGCTGTGAAACGCGTACGGAGAAATTCGAACACTTCACTTCTATCTGAAGGTTATGCGGATGATGCCATTCAGAAGAACGATGAAAGCTCCACGACCAAACCATCCAGCTGAGAGAACAAAAATCCATCAAAATCATCCACCTAAGCTACAAATCTTCTCCATCAACTCGAGATATTACCACACATGCCTCACAATAGACTTGAGTGACAGTACCACTGTCTTTTTTCTATCTATTTGGTTATAAATTTAAGAAAATGTTTTTGATCATCAGTGAATCTATCTTCGATGTGTTTTCTAAGTGAAGTGTATCTTTAGTGAAAGTATGCCGTACAGTGAAGTTTGTGCAACCTTGAAATTAACTAACCAATTAAAAACAACAGGAATATATTGCTACGTAAAGTTATGGTTGGAGGTAGTAGGAAAAAACTTTTGAATTTAGGCTTTGTGTTATTTGGTACACTACACCATACATCCCAATATAGTACATGTGATGTTGAGTCACTTAGACTATTGGTCACATTGTAACTAGATCAAATAGGATTAGACAAGTATTAAGAAGAACTTGATACATATGATATTGGTCATAACTAAGTAGTTAATCAAGTATGGATATTTTGCCATATCACTTGCAGAACTTAATTATATATCAGATTTTAAAGTATCTATGCAGTTTATTTAGTCTTTCATACTCATAATCTTTTTCGTACGAAATCATGTTCATTTAATGATTATACAAATACTTTGTTCTAATCAATCCTAATCAATTTGAAAATGCATTTTTGTCATAGTTATGATGACTGACATTAAATATGGAAAAATATGGGTTAAAAGCGAGACAAACGAAAAGACAATAAATGATGATAGATAAGAGAGGTATATCCTGGAGTTCTAGTGGGAAGTAGTGACCAGTAGAGTTCAACTGGGTATGTTGTAAGATAGTAACTCACTGATGACAACGGTGGATGTGTCGCTCAATTTGGTGGATTAGTTGAAATTAGACATGAACATCATTTGATACCGACCAGCTCTGTGGTCTATTGGTTAAGCGTTCACGCGTGAGACTTGTAGGTCCTGGGTTGGAATCTCGCGAGGCGGGATCGCAGATGCGCACTGCCGTTGAGTGCTTCCAGGTTTTCCATGATGGTCTAGCTTCACTTGACTCATGATCTCAACCATTAAAATTAATACAAACTTAGATATTACACAGAAATGGTACAAAATGTGCGCTGTAAATTACTTTGAATGACATAGTGACTGAATTAATTCAATGAATTTTTCTACTGAACAATAATAATACTGAATTGAAACGTAATCTTGCGTTTTATGTCATACTAACACTTCTACAAAGCTCTTTATGAACTGAATAATAATTGGTATTGACTTATTGAGTTTTGTGCAAAACACTGAGAGTTCTTCTCTTACTCATGGTTTGCTTGAACGGTATGATGTACTTTTGCTGTACACTTTATTAAATACTCCGTAGTGTTTATTAATTTGCTGATTACATATCTTTTGCTTTTTTGAAATTTACATATTAATATTGTTCCAGTGAGTGTGAGCCATTCTGTACTACCCTGTTTTGCCGAATATTCTGTACATGATAAATGAATAAATAATATCAATGTCACATAATGCTTATAGCTTGAAAATTACTTCTCATTAATGTCCTGTTAATTATTTCTTCTTAAATAGTTATCTACCATTCCTCTCTTCCCGAATATATCACTTCATGGAACTTGGTCAGGAATGTCTGGTGGTTTAGAAAATATCGGTGCAACATCTGGTACAGGAAGATCAGGTTATTTGGCACCATATCATACAGGTAGTGGTGGATCATTATCTCCACATTTAGCAGGAAGTGCATTTCAATTCATTGGAAATACTTCATCTAGTGCTGGTGTAGGTACAGTTGGTGGTAGAGCATCAGTACCTGGTCAATTGATGTCTAGCCCAGATGTTATTATGTTATCGAGAATGTTACAGGAAAAAGAAAACATGGTAAGTAGTATATATATGGTGCTTCGATAGTGTAATAAGAAGACGAAGATTATCAAGACTACGTGATATATTAGCGTAATACATTTCGAACAATCAGATCACACATATACTTGTTAAGAACATTTATATATAAAAATAATAGATCAACTAGACTAGAAATGGAGGGTAAGAGGATACAAGGATAGTAGTAATAAGAGTAATAATAATAATGTGAACACAATTAGTAACCTAATCACTCTGCATAATAAGTCAATATCACCAGGGTAGGTTTAAGGTGGGAATAAACTGTTTTTAAATACACAAAAGAGTTTTGAATTTTCGTATGGCTGAGGCTTCAATAAACCCTTTTGCATTTTTATATAACACCACAAAAGCTGAATTCCGATCAATCTTATCATCTATATCAATTGTGTTTGGGGACAGAGGATGATGAATGTTTTTCCTCTACTCTTATTGGGTCATTTGATTCTATTTGGTTCTGCAACAAATCAGATACATGTTCACATATCTTAATTTTGAGATCACTATTACTTCTCTATATGTATGTATGACCACACACACACATATTAAAATTGGTAAAAACAGTGGGATGTGATGCAACCGTTTTCTCATCTTTTACGTTTTCGATGAAGCATGAACCTTGTTGTTTTCTTGATAATGATCATTGCTGCACAATATATTTTGTTAATAACTGATTTAAGCCTTTGTTTCAATAAAAGGTTATTTAAATCATCTCTAAATGGTAAGGTGATGTAGACAGGCTTTTTTCCGCCAAAGCTATAGTAGGTCTCACTGTACCATGAACTTTCCATCTATTTATGAATTTAAGGGGATAACCATTTTCCATTGTTGTTTTATTTAGCAACTTAACATCATCATCATCATCATCATCATCATCATCAATGGCGTCATTTGTGTAAATACGATCAAGCCTGTTGAATAGTCACCTAATCAAACCCCGTTTGTATTACACAGGGCAATAACTATAATAACTAACGTATTGACCTATCCAAGTTGGTTTTCTTAAAAAGTGCGCTAATATATATCATTACATAGTTTTGATAATCTTCGTCTTCTTCATTATTACACTATTGAAATTTATCAAAAGGACTAATTGTTTTAAACCAAAGCAATTTGATATTGAATAGACGATTTTAATTTGATTGAGATCAAGAACCGATTGATGTTAGACCACCATTGAAAACCTGGAAGCACTGGACGACCGTTTCGTCCGATTGTGGGACTCCTTAGCAGTTTTCAATGGTGGTCTAACATCAATCGGTTCATGATCTCAATCAAAAACTTAACAATCCCCACAACCCACAAACTGAAAGTTTAATTTGATCATTACAAATTGATGTTTTTATTTATTTTAGCTTCAACAACATTTGCAAGAATTAACTCGATTAAGATTTCAAAATTCTGAACTTGAAATACGTTTAAAAGCAACACAACGTGAATTAGATACAAAATCGGCTAGATTAAATATACTTGAAACTACTCATGTAAGTTAATTATTATGCATGTTTTAAATTAGACGCTTTTCTCTAGTTTGAGAAAAAACTCATTAGCATATAGATATATAGTCGAATCAAGGAGATTTTTTTGATTTCCTGGATTGGTCAGTTAGTTACAACGTAGGACTAGGCACATATATGCATCGGTTCAAGTTGCCATACCTCATTAGCACAACAAGACGAACACCGGATTCATAGGAGTGGTTAAGTCAATGGTCGTAATATATAAAAGAAAGATTTTATGTAAGGATGTAGTACAGAACGAAAGATATGAAACGATTTTAATCTCATAATTTAAGTGAAGATAGAAAGTGTATACACCTACGCCATTTTGATCGCTTCTGAGCCATGTTACATAGAATATTCAACCATTAGTTATTACAGTCACGCGGACCCCAGTCAAAGTAGTCTACATCTACCGACCTGGGTAAGACTAGAAGTTAGGGTGGGTAGCTTGCTAGTTTCGAATATTTGTTTAGTTATATGAACTATTTTCTTTTAAGATATTCATGTAAAGAGATTTTATGCTGAATATTAAAATACATAATCTTGATATATGAATGAATAAACAAGAATCTAGGTAGCTATTTGTTTTCAGGACATAAGGAAGTTTTAACCTCACTGTTATGCCCTATGGCTCTGCTAATTATCATGTGTTAAAATAGCTAATCAGAATACCGACTTCCATAATCTTATCGCTGTGCTAAACCAATTACACGTCGACAAGCACTATCAGCCTTGCACCAACTTTTGAGTCCTTATTGGTCCTCTGTATAGCAACTTCTCCTTTAGCCCAACCCAACTCGTTCGAATCAAAACAAAATTATCAATTTCCACTATGACCCCTTGACTTTATATGCATTACTCAACGAATCCCAATCATTATGTGAGAACATGTAAGAAGAAACTTTGTAGTTATTCATATGGAACTTGATATAGAATCGATAGTGACTATTCTAACTTTTATCGATGTTGATCATACATCAGAGGTAGAATGATACAAATCGATAATTAATAAGTCTTGATTATGTTCAATTAACATTCAATATTAAAGTGTCTACATACATTCATTCATTGAAACTAATGTAATTTCTATTATGTTTATTAATTAAATAGTTGAATTCAACTACTGGAATACATGATTTAGGCACAAGATCACCATCAAGTAATCAATTATCAAAAGAATTAGCAATATTACGTAAAACAAATCAAGAATTAAGTGTAAAGTTTAATCAGTTACAAATGGAATTAGATGAACGTTCACGCGGTGGAACATCAACTGTTGGTGCTTACGATAGACTGAAATCATCAACTGTAAGTTTTTTTATTTTGTTAATAATAATTTTGAGTTGAAGAAAATCCCCAGATGTAAATTATCATTATTATTATGATTATCATGACATGAAAAATGATATTTTGATTGAGATCATGAGCCGATGAATGTCAGATCACTATTGTAAACCTAGAAGCACTGGATGGCCACCCCTTTCTAATATGGGACTCCTCAGCAGTGAGCATCCATAATCCCACACGCAGGATCCGAACTCAGGATTTTCAATCCCACGTGCAAACACTTGATCTCTAGATCATCGAGCCAACAACCAACATCAACCATTCCGTGATATTGCGAGACCATCTTTCATTGTCTTCGGTGAGCAACTGCTTCGCATTCGATACAGTTGAACTCCATATTGTTGTAAGAAATTGCAAAAGGGCAAATCATGCAATCAATTAATAAGATTTTAGAAAGAAGATAATAATATGTTTTCGAATTGTACAGGTTGATTGAGGAAGTAATGAAGAATTTGAGGTGGAAACTACAACACAATAACTATTATCTTTTATTGTTAAGCCATTTTTTTATTAACGTCTTAAGCTGACAAGTTCCATACAATTATAAATAATTACCAGAGTTTTCACTAACAAGTAGATTGTTTAGTATAAGATGGGGGTTGGAGGTAGTCAACAGAAAACCATGGACCTAGTTTTCGTGCTACTTTGCACTCGTCAGCAAGGTGTACCTATAATCTTGAGTGAACTGATGCTCCCTGACGGATTCTATCTCGTGTCACCAGCTTCACAGTCAGAAACGTTACCACCGGGTTATCCGAGATGCGACTGACCTCCTGCCGGACTGAGATGTATTTATAATTGATTGATCACTAGGTAATGATGTCCTTCCTGCGTATTAGTTGCTTGGGGTCGTCTATGCGTATTGCTTGATTGCACAACATAGCAATTTATTTTGTTATCAGTAGTACAAATGTTTAATTTTTGATTTTTTAAATAATGATATATATTTATCACTTATACTTTCAGGGATTACATACAACAGACTTTACAGAAATGGCTACTTTGAGACGAGAACTTGCTTCTGCTAAAGCTGAACGTGAAGTGGAGGTACTTAGTTTTGTTTACTTGTACATGTATTGATCTCTAATTTGATCCAATATTTACTAGTATAGGATTTTGCAGATTGTTGAGTTTCATTGAGATCATGAAATAATCAATGTTAGATTACCACTGATCAGTTCATGATCTCAATGATGAAGTACCAAAAATTAAGGAAAAAAACACTATTATCTAGTTTAAAGCAACCAACAAAAGTTCTATTCCTAGGCTTAAATTTTTTTAAGACTCTAGTAAAATATAACTTCGATCTTGTAGTACCTAATAGAAAGTAACTTCATTCAGAATATACTCAGCTAGTTAGTCATCATCAGCGAAGAGCATAGTATAGATTTAAGTGATCCCAAGTTGTCCTACCACATTGGCACAAGCAGATAAAATTGGTGAGAGGTGTAATAAAAATAATCGAAATATCGTAGTTTACAATGGTACTTTGAAAGGATGAGAATCGAAAATATAGTTAAAAGGACAAGGTAAATATGTGTGTATGAAAGAATACTGTAATTCAAGATCGAGAGGATGATATAGAGTAAATACATTTGAGCTACTGTAAATGATCATGACCCATGACACCCAAAAGTCACAAGTCATTGATAGCAATTAGTTAGTCTGTATTCACGAGCATGGCTCAAACTGACAGTTTATGAATTTATCTGCTGACTGGAATAAATTAGCATAGGGAAATAACAATGTAATGTTGATAATGCCAACTAAACTGATTAGTATAACAATAATATACTATTTTCTGTCACATACCTGGTAAGCAAATTAAAATGTGTTATAAAATTATTCTAAAGTGTTTATGAAATGAACGAACAGAGAGTTGTACTTACAGAACCGATCTTCAACTGACAATTATGTACATTTTAAAACTAACAATCACATTCTAAGCAAATATAGATAGTGATTAGTAATGAAATCCAGGATGCACGTTTCGTCCTATTTCGGACTCGTCAGCTGGATGTACCTGCATCTCAGAGTTCATGTTCACTTGAACTCAGTACTATTCGCTTCGAAAGATATCGCGTTATCCACTTAGCTACTGAGGAAATACTCTCAGTATGCATATATGCCAGTCCTAATCATCAATGGGAAGATTCAAATAAACATTACCATATGAATTTGACAATCACATTATCTTAAGCATGCGAACATATATTTTAGGGAATTCGGTTTATTATCTAGATTACATGTTATTCAGTTAATTGAGTGTAAATGTAAGTCAGACATCATTTAAAAGATGAATAATCAAAGATGAAACTAATGATCACAAAGTAACCCATAGATACTCATTTCAATTCATTAAAGCAAAATGAAGGTAGATTATAATCAATAATTGGCTCACCAACTAAAAGCTACTAGAAAGTTATAATCAAAGCTTGGGGTATTGTAACAATGTATATCTATGATTGTAGATCAGGAATTTTTCCATTCTTAATTGAAATAAATTAGGGGAATCATAACAAATCAGCTTACTACTAAAGGAAACTTATATTCTACTTTGTAACTTTTCACCTAATACATAAGCAATTTCATTAGTCAGATATTAAATCAAGCTTTATTTAAGTGAATATGTAAATCGGTAAATAATCCACTCTTTATTGCTATAAGTTCTTTTAAAACTAGTAGTTCTGAAGTATTTGAGTTCCATTCATTATAGTTTGATTAATCTCAGTTAGATCACCGTTGAAACCTAGAAAGCAATGGGCAGCTGATGTTCCCTAGTATTGAACTCTGATGGTATACATCACTCTCTTAACAAAGATTGAGCTAAAAACCTTTATGTAACTCATTAAATAGGTTAACCGTTAGAACGATTAAGGAGATAACTAGACAAACATCCAGTTTTTACAACAGATCGGTCCTGGGTTCGAATCCGGTGAGATGGGGTTGTGGATGCACAGTGCTGAGGAGTCCCACAATAGGACGAAACGGCCGTCCAGCGCTTCTAGGTTTTCCATGATGGTCTAGCTTCAATTGATTCATGATCTCAACTATTGAAATCGCTACAATCTCCACAAAACTCCTGATACTATTTCATTAATTAGTCAATATCCTTTCGTTTGTTTTCCTATCATTTAATATAAAGGTTGCTAGTTTAAACAGTCAAATGGAATTAATCAAACGAGAACGTGATGATTTGAATGAAAAGTTTAATGAAACAAAATCTGATCTTACAGAGAAAATTCATCAGCTACATACATTGGAAGCTGAAAAAGTAAGAATACGTTTGTAATATTAATTTGTTGTAAACCATTTTTAAGGGAGAAAGTAACTTCATTTCGTATATGAATAGTATAAAATATTCAACTTGAAGTATTTAGACATGAATACACATGTACACTGCTATAATCAGTTTATTTCTCCATTATCTTAAGAGTTTGAAAGTTTCTCGGTGACCTTTGAGTGATGTTAAAGTGACCTTGAGAGTGTTCACCTAAAAATGAGGACCAAATAAGGGAGGAATTATGATTTACAGTTGATAGTTAGGGTTAGGAATAAGATTAAACGTTTTCATCACTAACTAACAACAGCCATAATACTAAAATTGTATTTAGCTAAATGGATGATTGAATTTCGCACCAAAATCCGAGACCTGTTATCTTATACGTGATTTGTTCGTCCATAAATTATAGTCTCGCCAGTTCCTCAAATTAATTTGTGTTATCTGCACAATCTACTCATTGAACATCATTCTTTTGTGTGAACAGATTTCATTTGATTGTTTTATGGAATGCATCTTTTATTCGATTTCCTACTGAAGTGGATATAACAATGTTATCTGATATGAATTAATACTAAACTATATATTCTTTTTAGTGACTATTTATTATTAAGCTAACTGTGAAGTTTTGTTCTTCCAACTTAATAGTTTTGTCATGAATCTTTCATTGTTCTTTTGAAAAATGTTGTCAGTATAAACTTCTGGTGGAAGTCTACCTGATGTTTGTACTGACAATAAATAATAAAACCATTCAGTTGGAAGAACAAAACTCAATCTAAACCATTTACTTGAGCTAAAAATCTTCTCCACCATCTCATAATTTAACTGTTTACTGATCACTTTGCCATTTCACTGGGATGCTATTACGTTTATTTCTTTAAAATATACTGATTTCTTTATTTCATTGGAGTATACTCCTTGAATAACATCTTCAAACCCTAATGTTCCCGATTACTGCTCATACTTTTACTACGTCTACTACTATGGGATTTCAATAGACAATTGTATCACCGTGCTAATGTGGTATGGCAACTCGAATCGGTGTATATGTGTACAAGGTTCAACGTTGTTCCTGATTGACTGACTGACTGGATGAGATCTTTGTGACATTCCAATGAGTTACTTACTTACCTACACCTGTTACTCCTAAAGGAGCATAGGCCACTGACCAGCATTTTTTAACACACTCTGTCCTCAGACTTCCATTCTAATTCGACTCAATTGTTGTTCATTCTTCTTTTCACATTTGTCTCCGTTTCTCGGCGTAATGTGTTCTTTGATCTTCCACTTCTCCTTTGGCCTTGAGGATTCGATGTGAGGACTTACTTTGTGACGCAGTTCAGTGCTTTCCTCAATTTGTGTTCTACCCACTTCCTGATTCTTTCCTCCACCAGAATCTAGTTTGTTCTCTCCTACAGTAGATTGTTGCTGATAGTATTCGACCATCGACCGATTTGTCCCTTTCTTTGATTGTTTAATCTGTTTTCTTCAAAATTACACGAATCATTCTCATTTTCTTCCAACCAAAACAGATTCACATTTTATCTGTAAGTATAGGGTGATAATTTAAGAAAGCTCACGACTTAAGTTAATATCGAGACAATCTTCACAGGATGTAAATATGCCAACAAGAGACTTATCAACTACAGTCCTAAACAACGATGGGAAGTTACAAGTAAACAACACAAAGTGAATTTAGTTAGTTACTTATTTAAAGATTTCCCTAACATAAATTAAAAGCATTTAACATACTTTCTTTTCTTTTCTTTTTAATAAAGGAAAAACTTATTTCAGAAAAAGATGCTTTACAAAAAAAATATGAATCAGTTTTGAGTCAATTAAGTGAAAAATCGGAAAAACTTAAACAACTGGAACAAGATTGTGTAAGTTCAATATTACTATTTCATTTTTGATTGAGATCATGAATTCATCAATATTAGACAACCATTGGAAACTTGTAAGCACTGGATGACCGTTTCATTCTAGCATGCGACTCCTCAGTAGTGCGCTTCCACGATCCTGCTCGTGAGATTCGAAACCAGAACCTTCGGTTTAGAGCACGAACGCGTAACCGCCATACCACTCAGCCCCCATCCAGTGGTGTTAATGTCTAACCTCAACTAATCCACAAAATTGTGTGACCGTCTCCCATTGTATTAAGGTTGATATCTGTTTCTACCTGACATGGATTAGCTTCACTGATCACGGCTTCTCACTAGAACTTATGTGCTCATATTATAGTAAGTAACTCCTTACAGATGCAATTTTGAACTATTCCCTAAACTGTCGAGGACATGATCTTAGCTTAGCCAAAGTTAGAATAAATAGGCTATTTGGCTTGATTATATTTATCTGTTTCTAAAATATAAATTCACACTGTTAGTATGGTGTATGCTACTTATGTCGACAGATATAAGTAGTATGTTACACCAATAAGAATGGGAATGCCTGTCGAAAGAAGGTTGAGAAGATTCAACTGAATAAAACAAAACAAAGAAAATAAAGGAATTGAGAATTTTAGGAATCATGAAGGGTGTAAAGGACAATCGATCGAAGATGTGCAAATGAAATATCTAATGTATAGTTTTCACATTTTATAAAAGAACTCTAATTTTACATTAGACAATAAATTAGTTGTCTACATCTGAGTATTCGTTCATTTCATTAGTATACAAAACAAACTATTAATGCAATCTGTCAAACATGGGAAAAGAGAGATATAAATAACAGAAGAGGTTTTTGTGGATTCTCTAGTAATATCAGTAGTTAAATTCATGAGTCAATTGAAGTTAGACCACCATCAAAAACCTGGAAGCACTGGATGACCATCTCGTCCTAGTATGGGACATACCAAACGCCTACTGGACCACTGAGCCGGCACTCAATGGTGCTAATGTCTAACCTCAACCAATCCACGAAATTGCGCGACCATCTTCTATTATAGTGAGGTAGACACTTGTTTCTACTCGACATAGATTAACTCCGCTGGTCACGGCTTCCTACCACCACATCAATCGGTTCATGATCTCAATCAAAAACTTATCAATCTCCACAACCCCTAAACTGATAATATTAATCGTTGAATGTTGACTTGGTGATCTAAATGTAAAACTTTCCTAGATTTGCTTGAAGGTCTTGAATTCGAACCCTCTATGAAATCGATGATGTACAATAATAAAAAAACCCTTTCATAATAGAATGACATAGCTATAATGTACTTTCTTGTTTTAAATGGTTGCCGAATGTGCATTTGTGAGGTAATGTAGTTAGAATTTATATGTTTTGAAATTTCCAATCATAAAATAACACAATAATACTGAATCAAGCTCTGAGTAACAGATGCAATTAACACACATTACCTAATCTGTTGATTTTATTAGTTGATAATATCTGAATACAACGAACAATTGATCATAATGTTTCAAGACCACTATCTAACATTGTACATCGATGTTTTTCATGTTCAGTATTTAGATGTGATTGATGTATTTACTTCTGATTGATTTTGTTATATTCGAACGATGAATAAAGGAATGGTAACTGATAGGAATTATTTATGGACTATTATTACATATATTCCTATAGGATCATTATTAAGTAACTAGATTATATAAGTGCCACTAACTTCTAGTCTGAGCCATGTTGGTAGATGCAGACTACTTGTTTGGGGTCCGCGTGATTATCTTAACCAATGGTTAGAGACTCTTGGTGACATGGCTCAGAATCGATCACAATGGCGTCGGTGTATACACTCTCTGTCTTCCCTTAAACTAAGAGATTAAAATCGCTACATATCTTTCTTTCTACGAACTAAGACTTTCTTCCCATACTATATCCTTATATGCAATCTTTTATGAATCCGGTGTTCGTCTTGTTGTGTTAATGAGGTATGGCAACTTGTACCGATGCATATATGCGCCTGGTCCTACATTGTGGCTGACTGACTGACTGAACTAGATTATATATATACCTTTTATCATAAGCATTCATTTGATCTATTGTCTAGTGCAATATGATTTACCGTGACTAACTTATTTCCAGTTTATCAATTACATTATCCCACAATCACAGCCACTTTTCGATTGATCTTGTATAATTGTTATTTTTAATTTAATTGTATGATGACATCTGGTCTGTTTGCATATAAACTGCGTGACTATGAAATATACGATTCACAAAATGGAAGCTGATATTTGTGTTGTGAACTGAATAGGTTAAATTGGACTAGACGAGAAGTTGCTATACAGAGGGCTAATAAGGAGTCCGAGTTAGCTCAAGGTTACTAGTGCTGGTTGATGTGTAATTAGTTTCACACAGCAACGATTTTGTCACGTAATAATTGACAAGGTCATAAGTCATAACAGATTTCACACTAACATTTTTGTCTAGCACAACTTCCACGTAAAAGGTATTTCATATATTGAAATGTTTATAAAATAACAAAAATACCAGAAAAGGTTTTGTGCATATTATAGTAATTTTAGTAGTTTAAATCATGAGTGAATGAACCCTGCTAAGAAGTCCCACAATAGGACGAAATGGCCGTCCAGTGCATCCATGTTCTCCATGGTGGTCTTCATTCAATCGACTAATGATCGGAACTATTAAAATTACTATGATGTCCACGAAACCTCCTCTGATACTAACCAACATATGTTCACTAGTGGCTAACTTCAAGAGGTATATCCTGGATTTTTAGTGAGAAGCAGTGATCAGTGGAGTCCAACCAGGTCTGTTGTGAGATAGTAACTCACTGATGACAATGGTGGATGTGTCGCTCAAATTAGTGGATCGGTCGAAGCTGGATGCTGGCCAGCTCAGTGGTCTAGAGGTTAAGCGTTCGCGCGCGAGACCGATAGACCCTGAATTCGAATCTCGCGAGTCGGAATCGTGGATGCGCACTGCTGAGGAGTTCCATACTAGGACGGAACGGCCGTCAAGTGCCTCCAGGTTTTCCATGATGGTCTAGCATCAATTGACTCATGATTTCAACTAGTGAGATTTCAATAATCTCCACAAAGCCACTTCCGATAATACTTGATATTAGTTTGTCATTCAATACCTGTCATTAGATTATACAATATTCTGTGATATATTCATTTATTAATTTAGGCAAAATCACATATTGAAGAAATAAAAAGATTAAATACTGATCTTGATGATTTGAAACATCATGTTGGTTATTTACAAAATACCATCAAAAACCGTGAAAGCCGTATTGAAACAACTGAAAAAGAATCTGTAAGTCTACATCTATTCATATTTATATAAATAGTTTTGTTTCAGTGTAAAATCAATATTATTTAAATACATAAAAAATGCCGTGGTACGAACGACGGTGATAAGAGACAGCTCTCACTGTCGAAATGCTCTCACATGGCCACGTGTATACAGCCACTGACAAGGAAGTCCTACTCACTGCTTTTTCTCACCAGCGGTGTTGTTTACGGCTCGATGGATACCGAGAGTCCATCTAGGGGAGTTGGAAAACCCTGATTTCAAACCAATGGTGTACATGAGCTCCAGTATCCTGAAGGAAAAAAGGGCTCTGAACCAATTATTGGTCACCGACTACTATGGGACTACATCTCCTTACGATGCCCCACTGCCTTTTGGATCAGACCTTTAAGTCGAAGGCTCCGCGTGTGGCCCCCTAAGTAAACTACCTGCTTCGGTTTGGGTACCCGGGTAGTATCCAAGCCCTCACACAAATCGAATGATCTATGTGCCCTATACCTATTCGATGCGTACTTGTACCAATGTTTATATGTTTAAATAAAATGAAATAAAAAATATATATAATGAAAAAGAATTCACAGAGCTACGTTTTATAATTAATGTAAACTCATCGATAATGTTTATTTGTAATATCAAGTTATTTGATATACATGGCAACAGAATATCATCTAGTGTTTGTGATGTATCATTATATTTATCATTCAATGATTGGTTGGTTTTGTAATTGATTGATCGTGGAGTGGTAGGTATGTCAGATCCTACTTAGTGCAGATGGAATCCTATCGACCAAATCGCGATGTGACTACTAGTCTATGTGTCTTGATATTGTGTGCACTATGTTGAGATAAGATGGTGTTTAAAGGTAGTCAACAGGAAACCATGGACCTAGGTTTTTTGCTACTTGTCACTTGTCAGCAAGGTGTTCCTGTGATCTTGAGAGAACCGGTGTGCCACCTGACGGATTCTATCCCGTGTTATCAGCTTCGCAGTCAGAGACGTTACCACCGGGCTATTTCAACCGCAACTGACCTCCTACTGGACTGAGATGTATTTACAATTGATTGGTCACTGTGTGGTAATCGCTGTCATGTATGTCAAGTCCATCTTAGTGTAGATCGAATCCTATCGACCAAGTGATTGATCACAATGTACTTCTTTTTGTAAAAGAATTGAATTGATCAAATTTGTATGTTTTAGCAGCATGTCTTGGTAAACATAGTAAGAGTATTAAACTTGTGATGTAGAAGCAAATTGTTTTTCTAATCATTTAGTGTAGTTGCTTAGAAAGGCATTTAAAATGTTTAGTTAAATTTTTTGTATAAGGCTGATACTGGCTATTCCATGCATGCTGATTTTTCACTTGTTGTCCAACTGACCTTATTCTATGATTGGAACTATCTTTAAAACACTTGGTATTGCCTTAATTCAAAAGCGTTATAAGCGAAGATGGATAGTGGCTGACGAGTCCCAAATATGACGAAACGCACGTCTCGGATTCCACTGCTAGCCACTATCCATTTTTGGATGGTGGTTGGAGGTGGTCGACAGGAAACCCTGCAGTGTCGAGTCACCTAGTCTAGTGGTCATATTGGAACTTGGTCGATAGGATTCCATCTGCACGAATAAGGACTTGACACACATGACATTGATCACCAGCCAGTGATCAATCAATTGTGACTATCCATCTTTGCTTATAAAGCTTGTGACCTAAGGCAATGTCGAGGCAATACACACAATATGCACATATACCAATAAGAGAATGATCAATTGCAGTCTTGAAACAACAATATGAAGATATAGGCAAACAATACGAAGTAAATTTAAACTTCATCTATTGCACAAGGAACTGGCTATCAGGACTCAGTAGCTGAATGAATAACGCGATGATGTTTGAATCGAACGGTACCGGATTCGATTCCCAGAGTGAACATCAACTTTGAGATGTAGGCACATCCAGCTGACGAGTCCCAGATACGACGAAACGTACATCCTGGATTTCATTGTTAGCCACTATCCATGTTTATTTTTAGAAATAGTTGTTAGTTTTAAGTAATCTATTAGGATTCTATTAAAAGAATAGTTGCACATTTACTAAGATTCATTTTATTCTGACTAAATTTGTTTAAAATTATAATTTTACACTTGATGAATATAATCGAAATTTTCGTACTGCTTTGTTTTTTTGTTCATTTTAAATACAGTTTAAGCTAAGAGATGAATTAACTAATATACGTAAACAATTGACAACTGCTGAAGCAGAGGTAAAGAGTTTACGTGATGATGCAGTTTATAGAGAAGAACGAATTAAGCAAATACAAAATCAATATGTAAGTTATAAACACTTATAAACTCAATATTTAAATAATAGAGGTAGTTGATAAGTCTTGCAGATTGAACGCTATATTCGTCTTCTAAGCTATTCTGTAACCCCCAAGCTAGAACAATACACCGACCTGATTCTTGCTTGTCTTTTGCAAGCAATTTTCTGGATCACTCCAACAGTAGTGACTTACAAGTGTCTATTGGAAAAATGATTGGATTACAATAGTTTAATGGATTAAACAGCTACAATTGATTTTATATTCAAGAAAACAGTTTATAACATCCTTTTCATTATCCTGTTAGCTTATGTGTCTTTAATTATTCGAAATGATATTACTTTTAAATGATTTATTGTTATGAATGATTTCAATGGAATTTAGTTGAAACTACATGGCCAAAACTTTGAAGAGAACAGGAACACTTAAAGATAGATCATAACATGATTTACTCGAATATGTAATTACACGACAACAAATGTTTTCATCTATCATAACTGATATTACTTTGTAGTGTCGGCTATTATGTTAAGCCCATATACATTTTTCTAGCTTTCGGAAGGCCCATCTATTCATCCTACTTGAGTCACATTCTGACCTTGTTAACTATTCGCTTATCAATATTGACTTTTTATATGAGCGCGTAGGTGTGTGTACATTTCTCATCCCGTTACTCATCACATGTCTGTAACTTACTTTTGTGTAACTATAATTACTGATTAATGTTTGGTTAGATGGGAATTGGCTTACCCGCCAGCCGAACCGCGCGTCGTTTCGCTTTGTTCTATTCCATTCGCTTCGTATACAAAATATATGTATTCACAAGTTATTTGACTTATTTAATTCCGTCACTGACTAACGCGATTTAAATCGATAATTATATAGGAGGATAAGCTACCTATATATTTCGACAACAATCATTCATACGATCTACTTGGAATCAGATCCACGGGCCACTAAAGTGGAGAGCCCTTTCGACAACATCGTTCGATCTAAATGACGACAAAATAAAGAGCCCCACAACGTTGTGTTATTGGATTGGATTTGCACTAAAAGCCTTGACTTTGAATGACTTGGCTCAAAATCGTCTGCAATGGTGCAGGTGCATCCACTTTTTGTGTTCTAAATTCTAATCTTCTGAATTCTTCATGTCCCTTTTTTCTCTTTCCAAATTTATTTCACTGGATTATACTCCTTGAATAGCATCTTCGAATCCTAATCTTTCCGATTACTGCTTATACTTTTACTACCTCTACCATTATGGGATTTGAATCGACAATTGTATCTGTGTGTTAATGTGGTATGTCAACTTGAACTGATTTATGTACGTACGAAGGTCTATGTTGTTACTGACTGACTGACTGCACTGACTACACATAAATCGATAATAAGTACCATTGCTATCCTTAGTTGTCTACGTTTCATTAAGCCTCAGAAACATTAGGAGATAACACTTAGTTTATGGCTTATTACTCCTTTAATGTAACAAAAGTACAAAAAAATCCTTGAATGCACTTTAAATCAATTAAGCATATGGAGGAAAAAGATTTAATGATTTATGCTGATTGGTCCAACAAGATTAACCAGACTACGTTGCAGTATAGATTACATTTTGAAATGAAGATTGTTTGAACTTCATCATCTAATCGTCTAACGTACTAAATTTTGCATTGTAGCTATGTCA